TGTCCTTTAAAAGATGAGCAGGCCCGGCTGGCGTGGCTCAGTGGTTGAGCATCGACCTATGAACCAGGTCACGGTTCAATTCCCGGTCAGGGCACATGCCCCGTTGTGGGCTCCATCCCCAGTGTAGGGCATGCAGGAGGCAGCCGGTCCGTGATGCTCTCTCATCATTGATGTGTGTGTCTCTCTCTCCCCCTCTCTTCCTCACTGAAATCAATAGAAATATATTAAATAAATAAGCAAAACGAGCAGGATTTTGACCCAAGAGACTGCCCAACGGTGTGACTGTGACAGGAACACAAAAGGAAGAAAAGGGCATGTTCCGGTTTAGTGAACCGGACAGAACGGAGGAAACCGAGGGTGCATTCATTCCGTTACACGGTAAACAGCTATGGAGCCTCTAATACGTGCAGGGCACTGTGTCAAGTGCCAGGGAGAGCGCAGTGAAGGAGAGAGACAGACAGCCCTGCACTCAGTAGCATTGACAGGAGAGAAGGCTGGGTCCCTGCAATCGTTCAGATAAGATTTGCAAAAGCCTGAATTGGCCAGTAACTATGGCAGCGGTTCTCAAGCTGTGGGTCGAGACCCCTTTGGCGGTCGAACGACCCTTTCACAGGGGTCGCCTCAGACCTTCCTGCATATCAGATATTTCCATGACGATTCATAACAGTAGCAACATGACAGTGATGAAGTAGCAACGAAAATAATGTTATGGTTGGGTCACAACATGAGGAACTGTATTTAAAGGGCCAGAAGGTTGAGAACCACTGGACTATGGGAACAGAAAGGAGGGGTGGATTGTGGAAGCAATCTACAGAATGACTTACGTAGTCATGTAGGATGAAGTCAGAACCCATGACTTCTTGTTGTGTGCTCACTCCACAGAGGAGCATTACACAGTTATAAATTATTCCCCTGAGTCCGTACCACCTACAGACTGCACACTCACCTTCTTATTGCATGTGACAGGCAGATTCCCCACAAACACAGTCCTCTCGTTCTTTAACCTCTCTTCTTCTGGGTTCATTTGCGTTTTCTTCCTTTGATTGACAGCTGTGTCATCTTCATCACCAACTGTTTTTCTATCTGCTACTTGAACACCAGATTGAGAAATTTTCCTTTTCTGCCCTTGTTTCTGGTGAATTTCTTCTTCTAAATCAGCACTTGCTAGAGCATTCTCTCTTTTTAAGGCAAAAAAAGGAAGAAGAAATAATAGTCATGAGAGTCAGGTCTAGTATTTGACAAAGCGCAGTGTTTAAAAATATTCCCCACCTACTTCTGACTTGCCTAAATTTAAACATACCATTCACACACATATCTACATTTTAAAAGTAGCATTATCAAAAAGTGACCAGCACCTTTAGAAAATTCAACAGTCAGAAAAAGCTCCATTCTTGAAGATATGTTAGGACTGCCAGGTAACAGCGGGAACAGAAGTTCATTTAAGCAAAAGTGGGTTCATTTAAAGCCCTTGGAGATTTCGCTGACCCTCTCCCAATGTCCAACCCCATGATCTGCCCTGGAACTCTAGGGGTACTGCAGCACCCCCTGGGGGTCTATAAAGGTCAATACACCTGCAAAATAATGCCGTAAAAGCAATCTGGCCAATAGGAAAAACCAGATTTCCTACTTTTATGAGTTCTGTATATTTAAAGGATTGCTGTTGAATGTAAATTCTGAAACGGCAAATACAATATAAAGTCTAGGGGCACATGGATAAAGTGAGGTCTGAACACCAATCAGTCCAGTAAGAAAAACTGATGGGGTATCTTAAGGAGTGAGGGGAGAATGGGGAGTAGGAGTCATTCATTCATTCATTCATTTACTCACTATTTCCTGGGTTCCTACTCAGGTCTAGCCTCTGCTAATGCAAAGATAGAAACTATTAAAGGCCTCTTAGAAGTCAAGTCTCGGAAGAGATAAGCAAAGTTCATGATAAAATGGTATAGACACAAAAAAGGAACAAGAGAACCCTGGCCGGTTTGGCTCAGTGGACAGAGCAACGGCCTGGGGTTCCGGGTTCGATTCCCGTCAAGGGCATATGCCTGAGTTGCAGGCTCGATCTCCAGTAGGGGGCGTGCAGGAGACAGCTATCCATGATTCATCATTGATGCTTCTCTCTCTCTCCCTCTCCCTTCCTCTCTGAAATCAATCAAAATATATTTAAAAAGAAAAAGAAACAAGAGAAACAAGACAAGGCAGTCTCTCCCACAGCCAGTCCTCAGTAAATGCTGATCACTGTTATTCTCCCATAAGGAGAGGCCCAAGCTGAAATAAAGATGCAATAAGATTGGCCCAGTAGTAACCACCGCAGCTGCCGTTCGGTGCATGGGCTCCTTATCTTTTCAAGTTTTGAATATAGATGAGGTTTTCCATAATACAAATATAAAAATATCTATAATAATAAAAGTGTAATATGCTAATTAGACTGGACATCCTTCTGGACCAAGCTGCTGCAGGCTGGGGCCCCCTACCCCGGTGGCGACAAGCCCCTTGCATGAACGACAAGCCCCTTGCATGAATTTCGTTCATCGGGCCTCTAGTATATATATATAATTAGGAAATGAGCAAAACTTAAGATGGATAATGCAGGTGCAATAACCTCAGTTTCTTTACATCTCAATTCCTCACTCAACTAAGAATTTTACCAACCTGTCTGCCAACGTTTTCTCGGCATCAGAAAGCTTCTTCTTCTTCTTCGCTTTCACTTTTTTGGCAGCTTCTTGCAAACGTGGGCTTCCAATTAGGGACGGACTTTCTTCCTCCTCCTCCTCCTCCTCCTCCACCTCCCGTTGCCGTTTCTTGGTGGTTTCCTTGGAAAAGTTTGAAGTCAGGTGTGAGACCTCATCCTTAATAATTCTGTGGTCATGCCCGGCCCAGGGACCGGGAGGTCAGGGTCCGATTCCCGGTCAAGGCGCGAGCCCGGGGTGCGGGCTCCATCCCCAGGGTGGGCGTGCAGGAGGCAGCCGATCCATGATGTTTCTCTCTCTATCCCTCTCCTCTCTCTAAATAATTAATTTAAAAGCACAGTAATTCAGTGGTCTTGGTAAGTTGGCATCTCTCTCCCCGGCGCGCCCAGCAAGGAAACGTCCCCGAGATGCACCCCATCCGCCCACATCAGACACCACGCCCGGCGAGGCGCACTCCTGTCTGAAAGCGGTTTCCGACCCGGGACTTACTTTGGGCACCGGCACGTACACAGGAGGGCGCTGGGGCTCCCGGGGGCTGAAGAGGCCGCCAGCCGCCCGGTGCCGCCTGCGCCTCCGCCTCGCGCGGACCAGGCTGGCGGCCACCTGTCCCACCAGGTAGTCTCCCGTCGCAGGCCCGCCGCCCGGGCTCTGCGGCCCGACAGACGCCTGAGGCTCTGCGACAGCGCGCCGTCCCCCCGCCCGAGTCCCGGCCGGGCCGCGCGCCATCCCCCGCTCCGCCGCACGCTTCGCCTTCCGCCCGCTGCTAGGCACGGGGGCCGCCATTCTCAGCCCCAGGCTTCCCCGAGCCACACTTCCGGTCGTGGCCACGCCCCTTCCGCTCCTGCGGGGCGGGGCTCCCCCCCTCGGCCGTGCTGTGGGCAGAGACAGCTGCGCTGGCGGCAGCAAACACCCATAGGCGGGGCGGGTCCGGACCCGTGTTCCTGTTTTGTTTTTAAAATATAGTTTTTCTTTTTTTAGGTACACTTTTATTGATTTCAGAGAGGAAGGGAGAGGAAGAGAGCCTGCAACCCTGGGTTTGATCCCCAGTGGAGGGGCGAGCACAAGGCAGCCGATCGATGATTCTCATCTTTGATGTCTTTCCCTTCCTCTCTAAAAAAAATTTTAAAAAAATACACATTTGACGCTGCTATAAAAAGAACTTTTACCATTTGCAACAGCATGGATGGAACTGGAGAGCATTAAGCTAAGCGAAATAAGCCAGTTGGAGAAAGATAAATATCACATGATTTCACGCATGTGGAATATAATGACCAACATAAACTGATGAACAAAATAGATCCATACATGGGGCAGGGGATGGGGGGTTAGAGACCAACCAAAGGACTTGTATGCATGCACATTAGCATAACCTATGGACACAGACACTGGGGCGGTGGGGGCTTGACCTCAGGGGTGCCAGTGGAGGGGGGGCGTGTATGTGTGTGTGTGTGTGTGTGTGTGTCAATGGGGGGGGGGGAAGGAGACATGTAATACTTTCAATAATAGTAAAAAAATACACATTTGAGCCTAGGCCTTGAAATAGTATTATGTTTTTAAAAATGTTTTCTCTTGGTGGGAAGTTCATTAAATGGGGCAAAGAAACTATTGATCTTAAAAGGTTTGAGGTAAAGTGGTGATTCTCAACCAGAAGCACACTGGAGACTTAAAAAAAAGATCAATATCCAGGTCCCACTGCAGCCAAGTAAACAGGACTCTGTGAGGGCGGGGCCTGACCACTGTTTTAGGAATGCCCAGCGATTCCCATGTGCACAAGTAGAGTGCGCTAACAGTATGAGACCAACAAGGGTCCATGCAAATTAAAAGACAGTTACAATTTAAAAGGAAAAAAGGTTGGGCCCTGGCCTGTGTGGCTCAGTTGGCAGGTTAGATTCCCTATCAGGAAACATTCCCTAGGTTGCCCAAGGTGGGCGTATTGGAGGTAACAGACATGGATTTCTCTCCCCCCCCTTCCTCCCTCTCTCTCTAGAATCAATTAAAAAAAGGGGGGGGGGGTAGCTGCTGGTAATGGTTTCAAGTATGTTAAAGAAAACAAAAGTTTTGATTTTATTCTTTAGACAAATCTCCAAGTCTTAGGTATTCATCATGCTCAGACTCAGGCAAAACTGTACACAAAAGATAAAAGGCCTAATAAATCCTGTATCTGGTTAGTGGACTTTTAATTTTTATGGATAGAACATTCCCCTTTCTGTATGTCAATTAACCCCTCCTGACAATACAGGCTGGAGATATATGTTCCAGTCAGTCATCACATACAGAAATGAACCAAAATTACTTAATCTTTTAGAAACAAAATCAATGACTCACAAACTATGGCATTTTATTTCAGAGCCTTTGCTTACATTTGTACAATATATTACATAATTCTTCATTGTTTGCAGATCCTAATATATACTTTATAGCTTTTATTCTATAAGCTTTTTCTTCAATGTTTTGCTGTCAACAAATCTTTACAGTCCTGTACAAATTTGAGTAACTTGAAACCATTTTCAACAAAATTAGTTACTGTAAGCACACACTACAAGACTGAAAATGCTTTTCTTAGAAAAGTTGAATGTAAAGGATTCTGACACGTTAGCATCTACAACAAAACGCTTCAAAATTCTCACATCATATTGCCTGAAAACAAATAAAACATGCCAGCCCCATTTAAAAAAAAAGTACACAGAACTACAATTAAAACAGTAAAACAGTCTGTACAGTAAAGTACTGTGTATTAACAGTGCCAGGTATTAAATAGCTTGAATGAACACATCCGCAATATACAAATGTCTTACAAAGGTGGAGAATTAAATACAAGTGCCAAACAGAACAGAGGTTGGAATCATACAACATAAAGTCCATACAAGTGGAAACAATTCTGCGTTCATTTATTTTATACAAGGCATTTAATTTCATAGGCCTACTACCCGATTACCTATTTATACTTCAACCTTGAACCATACTAATACAGTTTACTTGTTCCTGAAATCCTCTTGTTGTAGCTCATAATAAAATAAGCAATACAAATGAGTTATCTGTATTTAAGGAAAAGAAACATTTACAAGAAAACACAAAAATATAACTGTTATAATTCATTATGAATAAATATACACTTTGAACTGGCTAAATACAATCTATACATTGTTTAAGATTTAATACAGTTTATTAGCCATTTTCTTTTTTCACACAATGTATTATATCAAAATTAAAAAAAAATACTGATTTATAGAAAAATGGCAAAGTACAGTAGTTCCATTCCAATTTGAAGGGGTATGAAAAGCCACTGCAAGACCTTTTAGCCTAATTCAAACCTGTAAACATGTTCAGTCTTTTTTAAAGAGAATCTTTAATATTTGGTTACCAGGACTGATGTCTGCTGTCCTGTTAACGGCAGGTTTTGAATTTATTACATGTGCTTGACTTATACAATTAAAGCCACCGCAAAGTGACTCTCTTTAAAAAACAATTAGCTTGTACAAATGAAAATAGGTTCATATTTTTTTCATAAATAAATGGAAAAATATCAAATGCTCCAGCTTTAACAAAATACAAGGGAATACATATACAGTAAGTTATCTTACCATTTTCTGGCCACCCAATAATTACGCTTACTGTATTGTCTCTACAGGCAGTGAAAAGCCTCCATTAGCCACAGTGGAAGGCCTTCAAGTCACCAGACACACAATTCCCAGACAAGTTGGAAACAATTATTGCTTGAGGAAAAGCAGTTCATTGTACTTTTTCTTCATAAAAAAAGTGCACTTAAGTGCCAAGTCAGCTTGTCAAGAAACAATTTTTAAATATAAAATAGTGCTTTGTCTGATTTTTTGTGCCACTGTGCAGTATAAAAAAGACGTGGCCCTCACAGCCATTAAGTGCAAAGTGCTTGAGCAAGTCCTGCTGTCACCTGCACTCGACTGACATTCCATTTTGTGATGCGCTGGACATGGATGGTTCAGCTAACGTTAACATAACAGCAGCTGTTATGGAACTGGATGAGGGTGAAGAAGAGGATGAGGATGTAGCAGCACCTAAAGGGACAGGGAAACCAAATCAATAGCTTAATAGAACGTATACCCAACAATAAACAGGAGTAAATCACTAGACTACAATTCGGCTGTAGTCTCCAAAATTATTTCGCTTACAAGGGCAGTCAATGTTACCTACATAGCTTTATTAACCAAAGTCACCCCAATAAATACAATAAATAAATTTTTTTAAAAAAGCATCCCTGGCTGCTGGGGCTTCGCTGGTTAGAGCATTGTCCTGTACACCAGAAGGTTGTGGGTTCAATACCTGGTCAGGGCACATACCCAGGTTTCAGGTTTTATCCCTAGTTAGGGTGTGTGTGGGAGGCAACCAATTGATGTTTCACTCTCACATTGATGTTTCTCTCTCCCTCTCCCTCTCCTTTCCTCTTTTGAAAATCATTAAAAAGCATGTCTTCAGGTAAGGATTAAAAAAAAAAAATAGTAAAGTCTCGTCCCACAATCCCGTAATATAAAGAAAGGAAAACCAAGTTATGTCTCAAGAAGCTAAGCAGATGGAATAGAAAGGACAGACTAGGAACTGCTCCTGTCTGGGTAGACAAAGAGATAGCCTGTGCCCGGTCTATCAGGACATGGAAATAAGAGAGCAGACTTTATGTAATAATAAAACCAATGCCAGAAAGAGCTTTGAATCCAATAGAAAAAATCTACAATCCACCCCAAAATCTTCCCCCTCTAATTCCTGTATCTTTCTACGTTTGGACTTTCTTGTGAATTTAAATGGTGATGAGAATGGAAGGCTAACTGCTTCTTAAAGATGGAACAAAAGGGTCCACAGCTCAACTATTGCATCACACAGCTGGCTACTCCCCTCCTCCTAAAACTCTTTTCTTGGCCATCTTCTCGTTTTCTTCATTCAAGGCTACTTCCTGCTGCTCTGGCTTCTCCTCGCTCCACCTATAAAAGCTGGCTTGTTCCAGGTTTCCTGTTCTTTGCGATCCACACTTCTTTCCTGGGTGACCTACTCAAGTACTGGGGCTTAAAAACCATGTGCAGTAACGTTGTACTATAGATACGCAAATGACTTGAAAATTATATCCCTAGTCTTGATTTGTCCCCTGAGCTACAAACTTCTATATCCCACTGTCTGCCTGGCATGCCCCTTGGAAGTCCAAGAGGCATTTCAAAAACAGGAATAAAACAGCTTCTGGTCCTCTCTGTGTCCCCAGCCTTCAACCTGTCCTTTCTAGGTCTTACTTATTTCCAACACTGGCACCACATATCCCGTCTGTGGCACCTGGTTATGGCAGCCTTGCTGAAACAAAGACAAGATTTTCCCTCAGAGTGAGTCTATTTTCTCATAGCACTTTCATTTTTATTTTTAAATATATTTTTATTGATTTCAGAGAGGAAGGGAGAGGACAATAAGAAACATCAATGATGAGAAAAAATCATGATCAGCAGACTCCGCACGCGCCCTACTGGGGATCAAGCCCACAACCCCAGCATGTGCCCTGACAGGGAATCGAACCTGTGACCTCTCGGTACATGGGACAAAGCTCAACCAAATAAGCCACACCGGCTAGGGCCACAGCACTTTTCACTAACCGAAATTTTATTAGGATTTTTGGGGGGACAGACTATATGCTCTATGAAAGTGAACATCATGACTTGAGTTTATTTAGGCAAATTTTTCCATTTGATAGGGTGAGGAAAGTAAGTGAGATTAAAGAACTTGCCTGAAGACATACAGGACAACCTCATGTGAGTCTAATGCAGTCACAGCTGCTTTATGTGTAAGTAAAGGTAAAAACACTTACTTTCTCTTTCTTTCTTCTTCAAACGCTTTCTCCTACGATCAATGGAAGCTACTTCAGATTTTAATGACAGATAATGTTTTCTGATTTCTTGCAATTTTTCTTGAAGAATTGTGATGCGTTCAGCAGTTGTCATATTTTCAAGGTCCGCTGTCAATTTTAAAACTTTTATTAATATGTATTTTTGAACAAAATGTTAAGATATAAAAGAAACAATATATAGTGTGGCTATAGAATGAGGTCAAGAAGAAAAACTAAAAATAAGGCTTGTAAATTTGTTTCCCTAAGATTTTTTTTCTTAGCCTAGAACAATGCCTGGTGCATAATATATGCACAATATTTGTTGAGCTAATGAGTATGGAGAATCAAAGACCTTACAATCTAAACACGTATGCTAAAAATTCCACATCATGTACAGTATCATCACAGTATATCGTATAAACTCATACTTAGAAACAAGACTGGGAAGACACCAAAATGTTAAAATTGTTTATATTTTTGAATGTCAGGACTGTGGATACATTTTTTAAAATCCTTTTTAGTTTTTTTTTTATGAGTATGTATGCATAACTTTTAAATTGGAAAAACTTTTTTCAAAGGCTCTAAAGCAGCGGTTCTCAACCTGTGGGTCGCGAACAATGAAAATACATCCTGCATATCAGATATTTACATGACGATTCATAACAGTAGCAAAATTACAGTTATGAAGTAGCAACGAAAATAATTTTATGGTTGGGGGTCACCACCACATGAGGAACTGTATTAAAGGGTCGCGGCATTAGGAAGGTTGAGAACCACTGCAAGCAATTTTCAATATCCTAAGAATATTTTTCTGTGTAAGAAACTCTGGGGTAGTCTCCACCCCCAAAAAATATATATATTATGGAGATTTCTCATGTACACAGAAGTATAGAGTAGAATGATGAAGCCCTATATATCCATCATTCACCTTCAGTTATTAGCAATTCATGTCGAATCTTGTCTCATTTATACCCCTTGCACTCCCCACCCCATAACAGAAATACCTAGCCTATGTTGATATTTTCCTCAATTACCTTCAAATTTTTCTTTTAGCAATCTGTTTATTCAAATCGAGATCCAAATAAAGTCTCTATAATGCAACTGGTTATTGGGACTCTTAAGCTTGGTTATAAACTGCTTTTCACTTACGAGCATCAAGAGTTACTAGGACAAAGCTTCTACAGACTGACCAGCTGCCCATTCGGTATCTGCACTTACACATCTGAAAGCTCCACTTGTAAACCTTGGGTAACCGATTACTGGGTTCCTTGAGGTCAGGGTCCTTGTCCCCATTCTTCCCACATTTTCCCGGCGACTGTGTCCGTGCGGGCGACTTGGCGCTGTGAGCGCTGTGAGCCTTCATTCCCGCGGACAGGGATTTGACGGGCTGAGTCTTGGTGACGCTCTCCCCGGCAGAAAGTTCTTCACTGTCGCTACTGTTGGCTGAAAACACAAGCAAAAGAAAAGCATTAGAAACAGAAAAGTAACAAAGGTTTTGCCACAGATTTTAATGGACAATTTAAAATTAACCATTTGAATTTATTACTACAGTATACAACTTGTTTTATAGAAGCTGCCTAAACGCTTGAAAAATCATCGTGTACAAATGCACCGGCACAGTTAAGCAAAACAAAACTCCTTACCTGAGTTGCCAATAGTACTTAAAAAAAAACACACAAAAAAACCCCCACAAAAAACAACCCTAATCTTCCATTATACTTGGTAGACTGTCAAATATAAAGTAATTATCTGAATGGCTTTTTATTCCATTATGTTAATATATAAAAAAATAAAATACAGAATCTTTTAAACTGACTCATTATAGAAACTTCTTAATTTTAACACTTTAGGTTGTATAAATGTATACTGCTCCTTTGGCCACAAACAAACAATGATGCATAATCATCATGTTCAATAAAGATTATTTGGGAGTAAACACTAAACTTTGATACATACAATGAATTTCTTAAATAACTCCTACATCATAGCTTGCTGACTGCAATAAACCATCAGTTTTACCCTGGTAAATAGATTCAGTAATTTATGAAAAATTCTGAGGTCTATGTAATATTCTGTTACACCTGTTTTGCTGACTAAAGCCTCAGTACCATAGAAATGGTTAACACCTTGATAAATTTAACATGTGACTGACTAGATGATGGCACTGATTTTCCCATCCATTTCCTCTTTCTGGATAAAAAATATTATTTTAGATTCCATGACAGTTAATTCATTTAACTGAATTATTTTCAAAGAATGGATGGTATCCTCATTCTGATTTACCAAGGTGTAAGCCCAATAATTAAAATGTGAGAAAGCAATCAACAGTTTTATCTTAAATTATATGAATGTTAACTGTGTTGCTGAAGATGACCCCTCTTAGGAAATGTCATTTAAATGGTAAAGTCTTGAGGACAAAAACATCATAGTATAATTAAAAAATGCTTTAACTGTCTAAACTGTTGTTACTCCAAATACTGACAATCAAATGGGCATCTATTTATTGATGCTTCATTGAACAACAGCTACCAGAAATAAAAGAATATGGTTAGGCTCTAAAGCCTGAAAAATACTCCAAACAGGGAAGGTGCATAGCATCTCCTCCACTGTGGTGTTCTAGAAATAAAGAGACTCCACCACTCCTTACACCACATTTCCTCATCAAATCCCCTCCCAGACCCCCCACTGCTGCTCTGGAACCCCTGGCAACTCCTGGCTAAGCCCCCAAGGCTCGGCCCCACTATGATGCAGTGGTCTGCCTCAGCCTGGCTCTCATGGCCTTGCTGAGCACAGCCGCCCGGGGCCCCAAGGAACGCCATATTCACCGCCTGGAAGTCATATGGGCTCAGCAGAACCTCGGGGCGCTGGCCGCATAACCCTTTCTGCACTGAAGTGCAGCCAAGCCGGCCGATAGCAAAGGTCAGGCAGTGGAGGTGGCAGGAGTCTCCTGGAAGAGCAGCAGGAGTCAGTGTGGGACACCTGAAAAAAAATTCTTTACATATTTTCCGCTTCTCACTTTGTCTACGAGAGAGAGATAAAATGTGCAGCTCTCAGGAGAAATACAGTATATATATTCCTGTAGGTCGATGAACAGTCATTGATAAAGTTAAGTCTTTAGTTAGAGCCCACTTAACCAATGTATATAGTATATATTGCTCATAGCTACTCTTGGCCACATGGCTTGAGGTACTCAAGCTAAAGGTGGTAACTGGAGTTGTTGGGATTACAGCGCCAACGCTGTCTTGATTGTTCTCTCCTAGGCTGATTTTGCCTTGAAGAATTCAAAGCAATCAATTTATCGTAATAAAAATAATACATAACTGAAGCATTTCATAATGTGATATGACAAGGGGAAAGAACTATGGAGCATAAAACAAACATGAAAATGTTGTTTATATTAAAAGAGCGGTAGCTGTTATTTTTAAAAAGATTGTTGGCTCATTCATCATTCATTCTTCATCATTCATATTCATCAGCAATGAATAACACTGCTGAATAAGACCAAACTGCTTAATTCTAGAATTTACCTAGGATCTGAAGACTTGTGTGACATTTTGTGGGTAGTGACAAAATTAAAATATGGACTTAGCCCTGGCCGGTGTGGCTCTGTTGGTTGGAGCGTCATCCCATACATACACTGAAAGGTCTCGGGTTCAATTCCCAGTCAGGACACATACCCAGGTTGCAGGTTCGTTACAGGAGGCAACCAATCAATGGTTCTCTCTCTCTCGTCTCTCTCTCAAATCAATAAAAAACATATCCTCAGGTGAGGATTAAATAAAATACATATATTGACTTATACCATATCCTGAATACCTTAATGGGGGAAAAATATCCGCCATAATTTTTAAAGTTACTGGTATAGTTGACATACAGTCATTACTTCCAAGCTTACAAAATAGTAATTCAACATTTATATACCTTACAAAGTGATCAATATATCCGCCATTATTTTTATATCTAAAAAAAATTAGAGGTTTTACAACTTACTGCCTTTTCCCTTCTTTTTGTTGTTTACCACTGTTGCTTTATGGCTTCGTTTCTGCTTTTTCGATGAACTTCCTCCTCCCTGGGCTTCTTTCGCTCTTTTCTGACCTGTACAGGCTACGATGGGAAAGAAATGATTAAGTAACACAATATAAAAATCAAGCTTTTCCTAGGTATAACTTAACTCCACATTTTGTAAGTACAGAACAATTCTGAAACTATACATGCTCTTTATGAGATCTATAAATTATCATAGAACTCAGTATTATTTTTTAAATAAACTGTTATTTATGAGCTCACTTATTGCACATAATAAAAGTTAGAGGGTTTTTTTTAAAGCAAATGAAGTGTGAACATCCTTCTTTGAAAAATCAGATATAAACTGAAAATAGTTCTCAATATAGTACTGAGAGCTTATGAGTCTAGTAGTAATTCAAAAACAGGCATATGCTGAAAAAAAAAAGTAAAATTTGTTAAAATTCAGTAAAACCAAAATATTAAAGTTTAATTACAGGTTAAATATTAATAATATATCTTATAATGATATTAATATAATTTTAAATGGTATGATACGAATGGGATAAATTTTAGTAGTAATTCAGTTATATTACGCATTTATTTATTTCATCAGTAACTTAGTTCTCAGGGCACTTACAAATCCAGCAATAGCAGTTCTAAGTAACGGTTCATCTTCTTGGTAGAAGATTATCCAAAATGTTTTAAATGTCTCCTTTCCTTAAGGACTAGCCCAAGTCCCAAACGTTCCCTAACTTTCCCTGCTGCTCAGGTTTCACTGATTGATCACTGCTCTGCACTGTGGTTTCTATACTTTTTCCTTTTTACTAATCTGGTCCTCACCATCTCCTGTGTTTCTGATTCTTTCCAACTGCAACTATTTTCTCCCGGACTCCACGGTAAGTTCTTTTTCCATAGATAAAGTCCTATCTATTCAGTTCCAATGTCATATACTATAACAACATGATATAATTAATTTTAGGATAAAATTATGCCATGTTTGCTACAAAGAAGTTTCTTAGTCCTATTACCAATGGTAAACTCAACTTTGAGTATGTAAGACATGGCTTCCGTGGTCAAAAATGAAACAGAACTGTTTTGTTTGAAACTTAATAGATTTCCTTTTTAATGGGTGTATCTACTGATAACTTTTCCTAATGCTATTTTAATATAATAAAGTGAAACATAAAGAAGGTGACTTAGATATTGATTATACAGAAGCAGACTCTTAAAAAGAATTGCCAGATTTTTCCTCAAGAGTTTAATTCTGAAACTTTCAGGTTAATGTAGGCTAAATTGGAGGAAAATCCTAAATCTAAATTGCAAGACTTACATTTTTATTTTTAATACAATGTAAATTCTCTAATATCAGTAGACAACTTTATTAAAATGAGGTCATATTAAACAGGTGCTTAAAAAGTTATCCCTGCCCTGGCCAATGTGGCTTGGTCATCCTATACACCAAAAGGTTACGGGTTCAATTCCCAGTCAGGGCACATGCCCAGGTTGTGGGTTCAATCCCCAGTTGGGGCACATGTGGGAGGCAACTGATCGATGTTCCACTCTCACATCAATGTTTTTTCCTCTCTCTCCCTTCCTTTCTCTCTAAAAATCAGTTAAAATTATTTTTTTAAATAAAGGAATAAATTATTAAAAAATACTATATGCTGTGACATGATAAAGCAGATGGTCCTCTGCTACCCTAAATCTAGAAGTTCTCATGTTTCTTTTTAGCCTATTCAAGATTAAAATTCAGAAGGACTACCATATCTTTTAATTTTTTTTTATTTTTCATAAGATGAGGAACACAGTTAAAGATAAAATCTTGTAAGAATTATAAGTATTAAAATTCTATCATGCTATTGTCAAAAGTCTCTCTAATCATTTATGACAAAGGCTTCTCTAATTTTGAAGATTATTTATGCCTGGACAATTCAGTTCCATAAGATAGTATGGCAGACAAATACAATCATAGTAGCTATATCTGTGAATGTAAAAAACAACAACAAAGAACATCCCAATTTAATAGCAATTATATTTTTTACTTAGTATTTATTGTTCCAAAAGAAATATTTTAAGTCAAGATTTGTGTGACAATGTTATATCAATTATCTCTCAATAAAGCTGGAGGAGGAAAAACTGATTTGTGTGAGAAAACTTGGATTTAACTAATCTGATCTAGATTCTATCTCTTAAGCTAAGAACCTAAAGCTAGCACAATAAAACCTGTTATGTTACATAAAATATATACTCTACCTAGTGCTCTGCCTTTACAAGGGACAAGAGTGCTTTGAAGCCAAGTGTCAGAATAGAGTATACCAATTTAAAGACACCTGAGTGAAGTGGTGTATAAGAAAAATGCTGACAGCAGTATAACTATGGCATTATCAAAAGGTACTAATACTTTTGGAAAGTACTCATTTGAATTTCCACTTTTAACAACTTCACGGAAAATCAAAAAAGTCTTACTGTACGTTAGTCACATACACATTGGTCCTTCAATTTGGTAGCTATGCATCTAAGAAAGCATCAAATTCCTTTACAAACTCACACAAGTTAGTCAGGCTTGAAAATCAGTTTGACACGGTTGTCTGAGGAAAGCAGTGCCTGGCCAGGTGGTTGCTCCAAACCCCTACATACAGATTTGGTTAAGGTTGGAGGGGTCTGTCAATAAATCAAAATGTTCGTGAGAAACTGCACATGACAATCGCACACACAACGTTACAGAAATATATTTAAGCTGCTCATGCCACACAGTCCACCGGCGGAGAATGCCTTTCCTGACAGGTCTGGACTGGGGCCTGGGTGCCAAGGACACCAAGTCCTTCTCAAGCTTTGAGATAACGCATTCCACTCCTCATTACTCAGATGGCTTTCCAAGCTGCCTTCGCACTAGTGCTTCCTTAGGAAGCCACCGGGAGGGAGGAGGGGACCCTAAGGCAGCCCAGGCCTCGCTGCTCACCTTTCTCCGAGGGCTCGGGCTCGGGCTGGGTGCTGCTGCTGGAGCTCACGCTGGCGTCGCAGCCGGCGGGCGAGCTGTTCCCCTCCGACTGCAGGTCCTGGAGCTCCCCGGCGACACTGTCCACCTCAATGGTGCTGTCGGTCTCACTCTTGATACTTCGCACCTCTTCCTGGTTTGGGGCCAGAGCGTCTGACGCTGACACCGAAGACGGCTGCTGCCCGGCCTCCGTGACGGTGACCGAGGAAGGGGACTCCGGGGTGGTAGGAGGGGTGTTCAGCACTGAATTGCTGCCGCTGCTCGGAAACTCGGCCTTTTTGTCACTGGCTTCCAGGGGCTTCTCCTCGGCGGGCTGGCTGTCGGCGCTGGCGGGCAGCGGCGCGTCCAGCTCGGCCCCGGGTGAGCTCTCCTCCTCGGCCACCGTCTGCAGGGTCCCCTCGGCCGGGCCCTCCTCCGGGGCCGGGTGCGGAGGGGAAGCCGCGGCCTCCGTGTCGGAGTCGGAAAAAAGCTCCTTCAGCGTCTTTTTGGGCCACTGGCCCTGAATACTTGACCAGACATCTTTGCGATCTTTCGCTCGGCTGTTCTGAAGTCTTTCATCCGAGTTGTTTAGGAGTTTGATCCTTTTCTCTGCCACTTCTGAGAATCCCGAATAGAAACCGGTCGTCCGCAGAGATTTTCTCTTTTCCTCCAAACCGTTGTATTTCTTGGTTGGTGTCAGCTTTGCTTTTGATTTTTCTTCTTCGTCTTCATCAGAAGAGCTGTTGCTACTGTTTTCTACGCAAAGTGATTCTTTGTTCTTGGCCTTCTCGTCCTTCTTGCTGGGCGACCCGGTTTTTGCACACTCCTCTGTGTTGCAATACCTTCTTTTCCCACGTTTGACCTGTGGCTTTGAGGATTTATCGGGGGTGTCTTTCTTGACATCCTTTCTCTTTTTTGTGACTTCATCTTCTTCATAATCCGTATCTTCAGACAATCCTTCCATATCTTTTCTTAACCTTTCTGGAGATTTTGACGCTGGTTTAGATATTACCAAATCTGCATGGACCTTGCTTTCTTCTAGCAAAAATGAACTGTTCTGTTCCTCCTTTGAAAGGTCATTTCTGGCGTGGGCCAAATACTCAGTCTTCGATTCCTCTTTGCCAGTACTGTCCATGTCGTGAGCACCTGTCTCATCCTCCTGCTCACTGTCTTCAGAACTTTCAGAAGCTGGAAAAAAAAGAAGAAAAATGATGCATGACGGGAAGATTAGCAGTATCTTCTCTGCGCCATGCGCTTTATATATTAGCTCCTATGTTTATAGCCACCCTGCTCGCCAGGTTTTAATCCATTTTACAAGTGAGGAAATTAAGCTTCTGAGAGCTAAGACACTCACCAATTGCGGAAATGCCTACATGTGGGGCGATAGTTCCACTACTATATACTTTTGCCATAACATATAAAATTGTAAACATAAAAGTAGTGAATTTCATTGTCTGTAAATTATACCTCATTAAAGCTGTGAGGTGTGTGTTTGAGGAGTGTGTTTTATCATCCCTATTTTATAGTTTAGGAAATTAGGATTGAGAGAGGTTAAACTACCCCAAATGGCAAGAGAACGTCTAAATGTAAGTCATTTGATTCCAGAATTTAGAATCTTAACTATAACAGTCTAAGAAATCCATGTAGTATGTTCTTTAACTAGGTTTAAATTAAAAAAAAAAAAAAGAGAGAAATCCATGTAGTATGTTCTTTAACTAGGTTTAAATTTAAAAAAAATTGAGACAATTAAGATGGGTAAAAACATTAAAAATTTTCAATGTGTTCCTGCATAACTAAATTTTTTAAAATGATCAAAGCAGTACATATAGGTGGTTATAACTATTTCTATTGATAGTTATTACCACCTTCTCTTAATAATATTCTATTTGTTGATTTATGAAGTTTAACCTGATAAAAGGAATGAGGATTTTCTCTTATTAATACCTCATCCCTCTTTCCCCATACTTTCTCTCTATATATTTATTTAAATATAGTATTTATAACATGTAAATATGGTTCATTGCAGAAACAGTCCACTTGTTACTTTCTTTCTGGTATAGCCTTTTATTTTTCACGGAGTTTCCAAAAGTCCTTTTCTACTCACGCTGTCTTCCTTTCTTATGTCTTTCACATTTATTTCACTGCTCCATTAAGTCAAGCATTCTCTCCAATTTCCTCACTCACCCAATCTCTACCCTGGAGGCCTATTTTCTGCTCCATCTGGGGGGCTGGTCTCTGGGTCAGTTCTAACAGCCACCATCCTAGGAATCTCCTGCAGATTTTCTCATGACCCAGACCCACTGTTAAACGATCTCACATCTTCCTTTTTCTAGGTTTACTCCCATGTTGTGTTGGGCCACCTAACGGTTTCCTAAAACAGTACATGGGAGGAAAATAGTCTTTGTCCTTACAGGTCTGAATACATCCTGACCCTCAAACTTCATTGTGTGATTTGTTTAACCAGGTGCAGAATTCCAAGTTGAAATTATTTTCCTTCAAAATTTTGAAGGTGCAGCTCTTTTGCTTATAGTGTTGAAAACACTCTTTCATTCCTTTGTGGTGATGATTTTATTCCTGCTATTTTATAATTTCATTAGAGGCCTGATGCACGAAATTCATGCAAGAGTAGATCTTCCTTTCCCCAGCTGCCTGCACCAGCTTCCCTCTGGCACCCGGGACCCGGGCTTCCCTCCAGCCACCGGCAGGCACCAAGGACCCAGGCTTCCCCTGCAGCCCAGGCTTTGTCCAGAAGGTTGTCCGGAAGGATGTCTGGTCTAATTAGCATATTACGCTTTTATTATTATAGATAAAATGTACTGTGGCATGGCTCTTTCTTCATCACTTCAAGTACTTGAGGGGCTCTTTCCATTTAAAGATTTCTGCCTGTCAGTTCTAAAAATATTTCCTCTTTTAGTTACTTGCTAATTTCTCCTCAGCCCTGATCAGGGTTCGTGAAGGAGGTAACCAATTGATGTATCTCTCTCACATCGATGTTTCTCTCCCTCCGTCTCTCCCCCTCCACTCTCTTTAAAAATCAATGGGAAAATATCCTCAGAGGAGGATTAACAACAAAAAAATCTGAACTCTTTTCAAGTTACAAAAAATGTGAAATATTTTTTATGGAGACACATTCTTTTGCTTCATTTGATAGATCAGATCTTCCCCCCCTTTTCCCTGCCAGCCAGATTTATAAACCTCCCCCTCCCACCAGTCTTTATCACTGTTATTATCTGATAGTTACACTTCATTCTGCTGTAAATATTAAGCAGTAATGTCACCACAAAAGAGAATATAATAAATGTAATCAAGATAAGCAAAGTTAAATATTCTTTACAAAAAATTCAATTTAATTTTATATTCTAATATGGCATAACACCAACTGTGCTTTCCATGGCAACAGAAAAGATGGAACCTGAAAAAAAGCACTGAATCAATACAATAGGGTGAATATTAAATTTTAACTACAATTTACTGGTGCCCTCGGATCTACTAACAGAAATATTTCTAAGCCTCAATCAATGGTTGGTTTTATTTCAAGTAATAGAACCAAAAAAAATTATGGTTCAATTAAAAAACCCATTTGATGTTAATGAATTACCTTTATAAAATTTGATATATAAAAACCAACAACAAACACTTGCATGCAAAAAGGGCATTTATTATATTTACCTTGAAGTCCATTAAGGATAGAAGTAATTTCTATGGATTTAATATGAGCTGTATCGGAGTTTTTGGCATCAGTAAGGTCCAGTTTAGATACTATTTCAGGAGATGAATTTGTCTGAAATGGTGGTTTTGACAAGCGCCGAAGTTTACAGTTTTTAGGAGAGTATTTTTCATCTTTGTCCTTTTCTTTGTCTAATTTATTCTAGGTTAAGGGGAAAAAAAGTATCTCATGTTAGCCATAATTTATCATGAGGCATTTATTAGTAACATTGTTAATACTAATTTTAACTCTTAAAATATATTATTAAATAACAAAAATATACGAAAAGCCCCTCAAAACAGCTACAGATGTTTTTTCAATATTATTTAACAAATAATGCAGGATGAGCAAAAAGTTTTTGTCTAATATTTATATTTAAATAGCTGAAATAAATTAGCCATCAGATAGACAATTAAGACTAGCATGCCTCTGGAATACCTGAAACCTATATAATTTTGTTAACCAATGTCACCCCATACTTTCCAACAAAGACCGAGAGTGAAGATGAAAAGTGTTTGATGAGGCCTGAGCTGTAGCTACTCAGTTGCTGTACCCAAACTTAAATATGGACCCAATGTTACAGGGAGAAAAGAATAACCATTTTAGGGGAAAGCTTTCACTATTAGGGGCCACTAGAGTATCATTTAGCAGGAAAGTAAACGGCTTCTCACTTTGAATATGAAAAGTGAATTTCAGAAGAACTATTAAACACCTCAAATACATACACCATTCAAAATATAAAAATGCCATTAACAAGGTAACAACTGTTCTAAAGCTAATGGTCTGCTTTCTAAGAAAACATTAGAGAGAGTTAATCTTAGAAGGAGCAATTCCATCATACGTAAAAGTAACATCAACTTCCAGGACAGCGGCCCCTCTGGGAACCTGCTCTAAGCCGCTCCCTGCAGTCAGACAAAGAAGCCTCCTTTTCCTCCAGAGTAGTTTGCAGTTAGTAGGTAACCCAGGGTCCAGGCCCACTACTCTAGGGCTCCCCAGCTGGGACTCAGAGGGGCAGGAGAGGGCTGACATGGACCAGTAAAATCTGGCTGGGTGGCCTTCTCCAAGCTGAAACTGAAAAAAGTCTCACAGATCATTTAGTACCGTTTCCAAAATGTCTTTCCATAAGTGACAATATTATTGTACCCAAATCTAGCTTTTGCTAAATTTGCTATTTCAAGGGAGTATTTCCAACTCTGCTAACACTAATGCACACACACTTAATGCCTAATTCTGGGGGGGGGGAAAGTTTTTTAATTAAGAATTATGATGTAGAGAAAAATAAGCACTTACCTTTATTTTCTTCCGATGTTTTATCTTTGGCACATTTTTATCAGCAGGTCTTACTATTTTATCTGCTTTAATCCATTCATCATATCTGAAATGAAAGGAAATTGATATAAATAAACAGACATATACCACAGAGATACTTATGGCATATTAAAAAGAAACTCATAAATAGAATCATTTCATTTTAGAACTGGAAACAACCCTGGAGATCATTTAGTTCAACTTCCTGGTTTGATGCATAAAGCTACCAACTGCCCTGACCGGTGTGGCGTTGTCTCATGCACAGAAGGGTTGAAGGTCTGATTCCCAGTTAGGGTACATGCCTGGGTTTCGGGATCTATTCCTGGTAGGGGGTGTGCAGGAGGCAGCCAATCTATATTTCATTCTCACATTAATGTTTCTCTCTCTCTAAAAATTAAGACTGCCTGTTAGTGATTTGACCATACTTCTTAAATTCTGCTATCAATAAATTCCTTATAATTAAAGCATAGGATCTAGACAAGTATCCTACCTGATATTTAACTAAAATACTAATGAAATATTTTCAAGTATATACATGACTTATTTGAAAATATTTCTACTGAGTCATCTAACTAATGAAACAAACATGAAAGACAAGATGCACAAGCAACTCATTGAACTTCCAAAGGTCACTCCCTGGCCTATGGGAGATGGAGGCGCCGCATCAGAGGGCCCTGAACTGATCAAGTCTGTGAACTCCAAGACCAAAAGCACAAACAAGGGCAGAGTCACGTGACAAATACATCATAGGTGTCTATCAGGTGACAGGCTCTGGACTGAGCACTGGGTACTCAGCAGTGAAGGCAGCACAGCTCCTTCCCGCAGGGAGCTTTCAAGTGAGCAGAGAAGGCAACACTAAATGGTAATTACAAAAGGAACAACAAACCTCTGCACCTTCTGAAAGAAGGTACGTACATATTTGTATTTTTAAAATGTGATGAATTAAAATATTTATACAAAGCTAGAAGAAATCATTCAGAGACCATAACATAATTGCTCTCATCAGAGAAAAGTCGAGTTCAAAAAAAGAAAGCTTTATAGTTTTGTTTGGATATGTTGGCAAATCACCTAAGCAATCACTTAGCAATAATAAAAATGGAAAAGAATGTCAGTCAACCAGATAGAAATGGCTTCTGTGCCCAACATCAATTCAGATGTGGTTCTTCTTCAACCCAACTAAACCCATTTAGCATGTTAATACATACACCCAAAAGACATAATCGTAGAGATTAAGAAAAAGTAATTACACACAAAATAAAGATATTTCCAAAATAATTTCATAAGCAAAACCAAATCCACATAATACTAAAATATGCATAGATTATTAAGATAAAATGTAATAACCATTAAAGTATTAGTCATTTGTAGTTTGTTTTCTGTAATGTATATTCATTTAATAATTGCTGAGCAATGCATATTTCATATCTTCTATAAACAAAAGGTTAAGTTATATATATATCATATAACTAAGCTTTTAAAAACCTCATATCTAAAGTGGAAATTTACACTGTCATTGCAAGGAGATGAAGTTTCCTCCCTTAATTAAGAACCTATGGGACACTGTAAGAGAAAAAAGACCAACTCATGATGAAAAGCACTAGTTATTAATAATAAACTTTATAAGCAATTTTATCAATATTTACCTACTTGATGAATTTTCTATTATAATCTCAATTAACACATTTTTTTTGATTTGCGGTGGAGTGCGGGAAACGTGTAAACTCGGGCCGATTGTAACTGCGTATTACCAAATATTTGTTTGTAATCCACCCTTTTGGTGGATGGAACAAAACCAAAAGACAGAGCCATCTTATATTTTGGCGGGAAATTCACCCCACACCGGAGTGTTAATAATAAACTTTATAAGCAATTTTATCAGTATTTACCTACTTGATGAATTTTCTATTATAATCTCAATTAACACATATTTTTTTATTTATTGGTTGATTTTAGAGAGAGGGGAAGGGAGAAAGAGAGAAACATCAATTTGTTGTTTCACTTATTTATGCATTTTATATGTGCTCTGACTGGGGATCGAACCTGCAACCTTGGCTTACTGGGATGATGCTCTAACCGAGCTCTCTGGCTATACATATATTTTTAATTTGAGAAAATATCTAAAACAAAATTTATGAAGACTCACTGAACACCATTTTATGCTTTTAGTAATGTACTTAGGATACAACAAAAATAAAAGTATATTACTGAAAAGCTAAAATTCTAAGCATGTTATTAACACTGCATATTTCTATTTAATTTAATACTGTTAAATCCATACCAAAGACACAGGAATGGTGTTCATCATAATAAAGAAAATAACAACATAATGATAGAAACATAAATATTATAGCATAATTTATGATTTGACACAACCACCCCAAGAGAATGATACAGTAATGATGTCAATCCATTTTCCTAGAGAATTTAACTCTATAAAATGAAGCAAAGGTATAGGTCTTTAGGCAGAGGTAATAAGTAGTGTTAAGAACAATGGAAGAGCAGGTTTTATTTATAGACCACTGAAAATGGTTAGCAACTGTGACTCAGATACTGATTTTCTAAAGTATTCCAAAAACTTACATTACTAATAATGATAAATTTAGGGGGTTCCTATTTGTGTAAATTTAGACAAACGTACTACCTGCCAATCTACAAAGCCACCAAATGAAACGGGTCCAATTTTTATGTTTTACATAAAATATACCTGCTAATCTACAAACTACTAAATGGAAAAGTCCCATTTAATAAACCCTCTTAAGTTGAAAACAGAACGAAAGCCCATTTGAGTTGTAAAGATAACTGATTCTTTATTTCACACCAAAAAAAAATGTTTATTTTCACTTGCACTGAAAAACTAGTCAACTCCAAAGTAATTTTTTAAGTTCACCTTACTGCTTTTAAGCTTTGTTTTACATTTCTCTACATGTAGGACTATCTGATACAAAGTATTTTGTATGCTGCAAAAAAAATTTTCACTGCCTTTTGACTGCCATGGTACTTTTTCATCTGAATATGGAGAAACTGGAACCTTAATAGAACAGTTGGACAGGTCCCCAGAAAATTCAGAGTTGCCATATATAGAAGGATAGAGAAGAATCTGGCTCCAGGTAGAGCCAGGCCACATCTGTCCCAATCCATTAGTCTATATATTCTACAGGTATGGCGTTTATAAACCAATGCTTTTTATTCAGATCTGAATTTCTGCTTTACTCCCATTCTGTTGCCAGGAGGTCCAAAGTAGTTCAATATTCATTCACTAATAATGAATAATGTAGAACAGTATTTTTTAAAAGATATTTTCTTTTTAAGAAAACTTTGCTAGAAAATGTCTCAGATCACACAAAACTCACATAAATAGCCCCACATGAAATTTTCTAAATTGCCATAGTAATGAATGGCTGCCACTGAAAATAAAACTACTTTCATGAACCTTCATGCATAAATCTTCATTTTCAATTTCACATCAAGTGTAAATTCAGAGATCAAGCTGAATTTCTGAAAATACTGTGAAAACAGTTGTAGAGGTGATGAGGGCTTGTTGCAGTCCTCATTAGATAACTTCAGACAAGGAGCAGCAGCAAAAATCACATGTGATTTCTTTTTCTTTTCTTTTTTTAAAACTGTATTTGAGTCAAACTGACGACACATGCTGGGGAACAAGATCTCCAATGCTCCCCACAGTGAATTCTTATTCATCAGCAGGACAGACTTTGGTTATTATTGCCGAGAAAGAGGATGCTGTGAAATTGACTATCAGGAAATTAACTGCTTAATCTACTGAAGTACAGTTGTTTTCTCTACGATGCTGCAGTGGGTGGGGATCCACCCCTACAGTTCTTCACCGAGATGTAAGTTTTCTTCTTGTCAACGTTCAGACCACAAAATGCTTGAGCTGTCAGTAGTGCATCCTTCTCAGTGACACAAGCAAGTCTTGTCGAATAGTTAGTTCTCCTTTTCCTTTCTATATTATTAAACACCTGAATGCCTCCTTCGAATATCGCCCGTTATCCTACCCAACCCACTATCACCTTCAAAGCTAATATACCCAACATTTCCTGCCCTCTAAAACCCAAGTGCTCCTCGGATAGGATACTTTCCTTTAGTCAATCTTTTCTTAAGGAAACGGAAAGTTATCTTAACTACAGAATAATTTTATGAATGTCTCAACTCACATACATACTAAGCCTCTTGTTTGAGATAATTAATAGAAAACAATCAGGCCCTGACTATAGTGAAAGTTAGAGAATGCTTAAATTCTATCCATTCATCACAGAATTTAAAGCATTTTAAAAGGCTACTAGGACAACAGCCTTGTTATATATAAACTAGCAAAAATATATATAAAATGTAAAATAAGATAAAATAAACTAGCAAAATAACCAGAAGGACTGAAAGGAGAGGGCAAAGTGATGATGTGGCTTTTATCTATCTTGTGGGCATTATTTAATAATTAATTTTTGTCGACTCAATTTTCTCCTAATTTTAAACTAACATACTCAACATTTACACCTTAGGCAATACTGGAACTCCCTCTACATTCATGTTTAATAAGACCATTTAGTGGGATCAAAATGATTAAATATCAAAGAGTGGGCAAAATATTCCTACAGCCACTGTATCTGAGACTTCAAGCATCTTCCTCTGAACTTATCATTCATGCCAGCACTACAGTGAGAAACATCATGCACCATAGAGGCAGCATAAGAACCAACGGACAAAAGAATTAATTACACATGATTTTAAAAGCAGTATCTGAGGCGCCCGGCTAGCTCAGTCGGTAGAGCATGAGACTCTTAAAAGCAGTATCTGGAAAAGCTGGTTTCAGGACAACACCGATGACAGATAAGTCTTAAAATTCAAAACTTTTGTTAATCTTGTTGGTCAGAAATAAAGAACAAGCCCAATGGATCAGATCTGTACTTTTCTCAAAATAAAGAAGGAAATCAGATTAGACTTGTTTCTAGAGTTTCCTACTGCTGCAACCGGACAACACAAAATGTACTTTTAAGGAACAGAGTATTATTTTTAAGAAAAAGATGGTATTTTTTTAGCGACTTTCCAAACAAATTATAATTTAAATATAAAGCATGAGAACTATATTCCTCCTTGAAGAGACTAGGCACACATGAAACCACCACTTAAAACTTCTATGATTAACTTTCCAAGGGCTACAACCCTATCATGGGCTATATTTCAAAAATAGTATTAAACATTCCAAAATGAAGTAAGTTTTTCTTAAAAGATACCTAGATGATCAGATCCCAAAACTGACATAAACTTTGGACAAACTTAAAATACAGAATTTCTTTGGATAAACCAAAGGAAACCTATGATAAGAAAAACACTTCATCTAACCCCACCTGAAACTGAACCTGTTTTGCCTTTCAGCTCCCCAGGTAGGAAAAGGGAGGAAGTGCACTCTAGTTAAGTTAAGCAGACCTGCTTACATTGCAACCATAGTGCTTCCAACATGAAAATACATTTCTGAGGCTTCTGAAAAACACTGTAACACAAGCACTGTTAAGGAGGAGATAAGGCCTTCTTGAAATAGCTAAGGCTTCTTAAGAAATCTCCATTGTAAACTCCCTGCCTACTGAAAGAAATATGACGTCCGCATATGAGGACCTAAGAGGATTACAAAGAGCTTACTATGGCAAGGTAGTTGAAAACGCAAGAGAGCAAGAAGTCTGATCATTGGCTTGTAGACATCAAGAAGCTCAAATCTCTTTCACATCTTTAAGGATTTTCCTATCATTTCACCAAGTGTTGCTTTGATTAATCCACATGTAATGTAAACATTAACTGGGCAGACACTAAGGAGGTCTTCCAAGTTATTAACAACAGGAGGTAGGAAGTCACTACGCGAGCATTTACATACTAACTACTACATATTTTTTATATAGTGCTATGACCTCAATGAAAATACTAATAAGCCTGTAAGTCATTAATTAAGTTTTAAAATAGGAAATTATAAGTGTTTTCAGGTAGCAATCACTAGCTAAAACTCAAGTTACCTCACATTCCATCCGCAGTAATGGACCAAGTAAAGGACCTCTCCACCTTCGACATCAGAATCTTTAATACTAGCTTCATACATTTTTTGATTTTTCCCTCGTCCATACCGCACTTGGACTTTCATGCCTGGTGGATAGCATTCAAACTCCTCTTCCTCATTGTTGTCATCATCCTCTTCATCTTCTTCCTCCTCCTCCTCCTCCTCCTCCTCTTCTACTTCTTCATCATCTTCCTCTTCCTCTTTATTCGTTTCATCTCTTGAAAGGTTTAAAAAATTGCAGTTAATAAAAGACACTTCATAAGCTTTTCAGTTCCAAACCACATAAATTGATAAAAATTGTGGCTGTGATTGTTCCGGGAACAGCAGGTTCCATGTGTATGAAATTCTCTGATTTTCAATTTAATATTAAAAACTAAAATTGTATAAGATGACTGTGGTTACAGAAAAGATACATTTAGAGAAAATGAACAATGAAAAATAAGTGCATTAAAAGAAAACTTCCAACAGCCAGAGGGACAGGAGTTGTGCTGCAGAGCAAGAAACTAGTACAGTCGACTGTTACAATTGTCTCAGGTTTTATTATGAAAGTATTTTACATCTCGGTTGACAAAAACAAAAATCATTACACCTCATAGCCATTTTCTGACTAAAATTATTTTTTACTCAAATATTTCCAGCCTCAGGATATTTAAAACAAAAACTTTTACTAGCCAATGGCTAGTCTTAATAACTTTAAAAAGTGCTCCAACTAAAATCAAATGTTATGTGATATACTAAAATGTTATTTTACCTTGCACAAGTATATTCTACCAACTTCACATTAATATCCCATCAAGGCTTTTTTCTTTTTTATTCTTCTAAACTTCAAAATTTCTGCTCTCTTTACCATATTCACTGAAAATCTTCTCTACCAACTCGCTCAACTTTAAAGTTCCAAATGAAACTAAAAGTTACACCATTCAGAAGCAGCACTGCAGCCATTCTGATCTTTTCAGTATCCTGTACCTTCTAAAGCTGAGTATTCATATTCATGTTATATTAGCCACAAATCGGTATTAAACAAGTTGGAGATAATCTCAAATCATAAATCTTTCCAAGCACTAGATTAAAAAAATCAATGCTTTGGTATAAAATTTGACATTTAGTTAAGTCTTTATCTGCTCTGCAGTTTGTCTAAATGTATTACAATAGATTCCTCTCAAAAATGAATCCATCACTTTATAGCTGACAATGAATAAACATAAAACAGAAGCACAAGACAGCTGAGCATTAAACTTCAAAGTTAATAGAAATATTTATACAAAAATCCAACTTCCACTGATAATTTTTAATATTCTTATATGCAATCTTTTTAGCAATAACATATTTTACCATTCCTAATTATACAGGCAACAAAAATAATATAGAAATAGAGACAAAAGCAGCCCTATAACCCTCTTTATTTTATTTCTTTCCTTCTATACAGTGAGGGATGAAGGGAAGCACAATAAACTTGTGAAATTAAGTCTGAGTTCATGAAAGCGTCAAATGTGTCAAATCTCTCTGAAATAAATCAGCAAGTCTATAAGGGTTCTCAAGAATTATTCCTCTTTTAAAGACTCATCTACAGCCATATGAGTGAAGGCCTGGGAAGAGTGGGTGGGGATCAATGGGAAAAACAAACAGACAAAGGGGACATCTGTAATACTTTCAACAATAAATAAATAAATAAATAATAACAGCCAAAGGAATATATACTTAAAATCTAAAGGAAACCTACTGTAATCTAAGATAAAAAATATGAACTCTATTATTGAAAATACATTAACAGCTTTAAAATTAAAGATTAGTAAGGCTAAAATATTTAAGAAATTATCAGAAAGGGTGTTATGGATAATAAGCTATTATTAACAAACTTAAATGTTTTATCTGTGTAATATATACTATATACATATATAAAATTAAAAGTTCAAATATCAGGGATAAAAGGAAATGTATTGTGCTGGCCACAACAAAACAAGAGATTTGTCATGCACCTCAGAATCATGATGTAAAAGGAGAAAGACCGACTAAAAAGTCTAAACTTTTTAAAAAATGAAAACAATTCTAACATTATCTTACATCATATAATACGCTCCGCACAACTGATAAATGCCAAGAATTGCAAGCACAAGCCTACATTAAGTGGTAGCCAGAGTAATCTTTATTTAATCTGGAATAAAAACCCAATCCTCTGTACTAACAAAACAATAAAAAAATAATAAAAATTTCACATTTAATAGCAACTTCAGACACAAATCTTCAGACACAAATCAAAGTCATGAAAATAATATACTGATGTATAAATAATCAGACAACACAATTATTGGCTTGAATCAGCCATAGAAAATGCTTCTACTTTTCTAAGAATTCAGTAGCAAAATCAGAGGTAAGTGCACTAAATCAGACACAACACAGAATGCCAAGAAAGATAGCCTTTAAATGTACACACACACACCAAGGATTTTTCATCTGAATTCACAAAGAAATATCAAATTTTCCCAGTTTGATGTGACACTCCTTACAATGAAACAAATTAAAAGAAAAAAGCTACAACTTATCAATACCTATTATGGACCAGACACTGGAATACGGAGGCAGGCTATTGAAAATTCTTGGTCATAGCTAATTACTTAGCAGAAGTTATATATTAGAGGAATACTTAAATATTAATTCTTTATAATTGTAAAATTTTCTATTGCACTGATCTAATAAAATTCAGAAATCACTTTTGGACATTTCTCACACATAATGCTTCTAAAAAATATCTATCAAACTAGGGCAGTCACACCAGGATAATTTCAGTTTGTGGTATGACGTATATATCTCTGTAGTAAGTAAGAAGGCCATCTAGTTGAAGAATTAAATGAATTAATAAAACCCTACAAAATACAGATTATACTAATAATAATGTTTTTAAAGTACTAATTTGAAAAATAAAGATAATTACTAGTAACAAAGAGAAAATAAAGGCTTATCAGAGTGCCTTCGACACAGTAGATGCTCCAGAAATAGCTGCAGATTTAAGTGTCAGATTTTTAGGCATAAAGCTGAATCCTTACTAAGTTCTTTCTTAATAGTTCAAATAGTCTCCAGTAGCAGCATGTATAATTTCAAATAAACATTTACATACAGAGAACTACAACCAAATATAATGAACAAACACACTATATTCATCTAAACCCAGTGTTGTTTTTTTCCTTTAAAGTTTATCTGCATGCTGAGGCCAAATTTGCAAAGTAACACTAAAATGATCAAGAGATTTTAGGCAAAAAGCTGGATACTCACTAAGTTTCTTAATAGTTGCAATAGCAGTGAGGAATATGTGAAATATATATTTGTACACACAGATACGTAACAAAGATAAATACCTTTTACTATATTCATCTAAACATGTTTTTCTTTTTTCTTCCTCCCTCCTTGGCTTCATGCTGTGGCCAAATTTCAGAAAAATATTAAAATGATTAAAAAACACTGGTTGTACTTATTTAAATGGGCCACTAGCAATGAGGAATGTTTAGCGTTTTTAAACCTCAGAAATAAGATTAGACACCAAAGATCACCTATAAAATCCAGGGGTCCACTGGCAGTGTACAGATTACATTGCTAAATAATTCATCATTCCAAATTAAGCAAAACAAGTAAATGCTACTTGCACATAAAACACAGCATAACAATTTTGGCCTTTTAAAAATTAAGTATTAGCACTTTTCCATTCTTATTTTTTGCTTAAGAAATGAATACAACTGTCAAAATCTACAGCCAACATACCACCTATAAAACATTGGAGAAAATCATTTTCCAAAATTTGTATTATCTGGTTATTTAGCAGAGCCTAATGTAGTAAGAAGTACTTTTCTCTAGCTGAAAATTTTATAAATTTCCATGATGAGAGCAAAGAGAATGAATCAAAAACATGACCTTTTGCTACATTTGCATTAGTAGGGTCTCTGAAGTAGGCAAATGCTATTTATGTAATAAATGCAAATCAGCCAATTATTCTATATTTTGTCAATCAAATTTTGATTCATACATACACGCACAAGGAGAAAATTACAAGAATTCATTCAGCCAAAATGCATCTTAACCAAAAACAGAGTTCTTACCCAGATTTTGCTTTTTCTTCTTCAGCTTCTACCTTTATGCTGAGGGATTCATCTAACCCAGTTGTCTCATCATTTTTGTCGACCAGATTTTCATTTTCTTCTGTCTTTTTTAGGTTAACTTCTTTTTCCTGATCACTTTGTGTAGATATAGATTCTAATAAATTCTTTTTACTTCCCTAGAAAAAGATCAGAGCAACTAAACCAACAAAAGTAAATACTACCAACTTAATTCCATAATCTAATTAAAAAAGGTACAACCATTGATAATATTGAGAAAGTTATTAGTTATTTTAAGAAACTCCTGCCATTCTTAAAATACTAGGCAAAAATATTGAACAGCTATTGTAAACACCAAAATAGCACTTACTGAAGAAAATGCACAATCTATCTAAGTATAAAATTATACAATAAATTAACAAATCTTTAGAGTATATAGAAAATGTACCAAAGGTGGAAAAGGACAGTATCTGATTTACCAGAGAGGGTTTAATATTTTCTTTTCTTTCAACATCATCTTCAGTAGGGTTTTCTTCTTTTATTATTATCTTCTCCTCCTCTTCAATCTTTATTTCTTTCATTTCTGGTTCACTTTCTTCCTTAACTTTTATTTCTTTTACACTGTCACACTCCTTACATGGCTTGTTAGCAACTTTCTCTGGCAGTGCCATCTGAAATTCAATATTGGCCGACCTACAGTACTCCTCAAAACCATATAAGTATCTAGAAACATGAAGAGAAATTACATTTGGGGAAAATTTTGAAATATTACTGTAGAGTTGTGGTGATTTAAATTTGTTCATTTCTCTTGTTTTTCAGATATGGAGCCTTAACATTCTCATTTATTCTAGTTCAGTTCTTCCCAATCTTTTTAACCCAAATAGAAACATTTTTCAAAGAAAGTCTCAATTAAAAACACTATGCTAAAAGTGAGAAGACAATCATAATCTTAAATATACTAACTGTAACAACAGTAGCTTTTACAAGTTCCAGTGATAGCCTGTTTGTTGAGCACTTCTTTGTAAGCGAGGCGTTGGACCTCTAAGTACACGTAAAATCTCATTTAATCCTCAGAGTAATCCTACGAGGCAAACAGTACTATCTCATTCTACAGATGAGGACACTGAGGCTGAGGAGAGCAAAGGCATGGTCCAAGGGCACCGATCGCTAGTAACTGGCAGGACCAGGAATCAAACTTGTGCATACCTAACTTTTAAAACTTTAGCATTTTAACCTAACACAGTACTTGCAAAATTAACTTGGCCACAAAAACTTCTTCACAGATGATCTCGTATTCATAGAATACACTCTAGAAAATGTTATATTATAGAGTGATTACTCCAGCGAAAATTTCTGATTTCTTCTTAGAGCCTCAGTTATGGGATACACCCCACCCTGCTTTCTAGATAAAATACTGAATGTAGCTATAGCAAGTACGCCGACTTACTTTTTATAAGCACATTTCACATTGTATCCTGCAGCTGAATTTAAGACAGGAATCCCAAGGTCCTGGTAGACTTGCTTCCAGATAGCTCCACTTTCAATCTAAGGGACAAAGTGAAATGAAAACTTCCAAATTAAAGGTAGGAATTTAAAAATATTTTTATAAACGTAGTATATACAGCCGAAACCGGTTTGGCTCAGTGGATAGAGCGTCGGCCTGCGGACTGAGGGGTCCCGGGTTCGATTCCGGTCAAGGGCATGTACCTGGGTTGCGGGCACATCCCCAGTGGGAAATGTGCAGGAGGCAGCTGATCGATGTTTCTCTCTCATCGATGTTTCTAACTCTCTATCTCTCTCCCTTCCTCTCTGTAAAAAATCAATAAAATATATATTTAAAAAAAAAAAAAACAAAAACGTAGTATATACAAATATGTTTCTATTTATTGGTTTTAGTCTCAAATGGATGAAAAATATCAATCTCAGTAAATACTAAATAAAAAATTGATTCATAACGTTTTAAAATAAGTTTTAGTATTCTAACAAATATCAGAGAATTCACAAATGTTGAAATATTATACCACTTCATTTTAAATAAACCCTGCTTTAGTAAATAAGAAAATGTCCAAATTCCTAATCAAAATTTATAATGAAGAAACCAAGACAGAAATTTTAAAATGAAGTATCATGTCCCATAAAACTTATAAGCTAATAAATCAAAGCAGTTCTATGGAATTTACTAAAGCATTTGATTCTACAGAAAAAATTTTCAGTCTTAATTAGATGAGCACCATTCATCATGGCAATCTTAAGATAATTTCTTCTAGTTCAAAAAAGGTTTTCTGCATGTTTATATAACCACATATATGAATGATATGTTTTATATATATCAGGCACAGTGGAAGAGATTACAGATATAAAGAAGATTAACACAGATCCATGCTCCCAAGTATGTTAGTTTAGTGGGAGACATAAGCAAGAATTTCCATCGATATGGTTATGCTGCGACTTCAGACATAACTAGGTGGTTTATGAAAGTTTGACAAACTTAACAGTAAGTCAGAAAGCTCATTTTTAAAAATATTTAATTAAATTTAAATTGTTCTGAGGAAGCCAGCTCTGTTCCTAACCTGTCATTTTCATTTTTTTATTAATTGGAATAAATAATTTAGATAGAAAACATGTATAAAAAACATGCTTCACTTTTGATTGTAATACTTACATTATCAAATCCTCCAAGTTTGTGTACAAGTCTGAATAACTTAAAGAGATTCAAATTTCTATATCCAAGTACAGGTCGTTTGTTAATAGGTGTGCCTATTAAGGAAAACACAAAATATATTAAAATCGCACTGCATTTTTGTATTTAAAATTTCCAAAGATTCAAATACAGTGCAAAGGGTGTGTGCGTACACGCACACAGAAAGTGGGACAAAAGTAGTTTTACAGTTGTGAGTATAAACAGTTTATTCTTATGTGATTATTTATTAATTTATTGCACTTTCCATACGAACAACTGTAAACCTATTTTTGTCCTACCCTGCATATATAGGGGGGGGGAAATGCTGTTCATTAAAAACATTTCCTGTTGCCCTAGCTGGTTTGGCTCAGTGGATAGAGCGTCAGCCTGCGGACTGAAAGGTCCCAGGTTTGATTCCAATCAAGAGCAAATACCCAGGTTGCAGGCTCGATCCCCAGTAGGGGGCGTGAAGGAGGCAGCCAATCAATGATTCTCATCATTGATGTTTCTCTCTCTCTCTCTCCTTTGCTCTCTAAAATCAATAAAAAATAAAAAACAAAAAACATGTCTTCTACTTAAGCCCATTTCATTAAAATGTTTCCCCTCTTACCAGGTTGTTGAAACCTTATATGATTTCATTCTACTTTTATTCCCCTTATGAGTTAAAGAATAAATACCAAAGAAAGCACAATTTTAAAAATCAGGGAAACAAGGTTTGGTAAAACTGTTGAAATGATGGGCAACTGCTTAACATTGAGAGTTATCTTTATGATAACTTCTTTGCATTTTAAAGATTGATTTTTTTTTTTATTGATGAGAGAGAGAGAGAGACATTGATTTGTTGCTCCACTTACTTATGCATTCATTGGTTGATTCTTGTATGTGCCCTGACACAGGACTGAACCTATAACCTTGGCAGAAAGGACAACACTCAAACCAACTGAGCTACCCAGCCAGGGCTTACTTTCTTTGCATTTTACTAAATTACTACTTCTCAAAATGATTCTAGAGCAGTGGTTCTCAACCTTCTGGCCCTTTAAATACAGTTCCTCATGTTGTGACCCAACCATAAAATTATTTTCGTTGCTACTTCATAACTGTCATGTTGCTACTGTTATGAATCGTCATGTAAATATCTGATATGCAGGATGGTCTTAGGCAACCCCTGTGAAAGGGTCGTTCAACCGCCAAAGGGGTCTCGACCCACAGGTTGAGAACCGCTGTTCTAGAGTAAAGCTATATTTTCTTTCATTCTAATACGGAAAAAAGTAGGGCAAGGACACAAACTATCATGCCTTTAGAAAATGGTAGAGGAAATAAAAGAACAAAGCTACACAACCTATGGCCCTTTCCAAATAATATGACTGGCATAATCATATTTTATCACTGTTCTAATATTAGACTTTATTCATCACTTTTTATTTATGTTACATAAAAGCCTAAGAAATAGCCTACCTTCTTAGGCCAAGCCTCCATTTATACAAAGAAATAACACAGGAACCAAGGACAATGTATATTCTATAAAAAAATAACTACATTATAGTAGCCACTATCATTTATGAAAGCAAAAGACAAACAGCCAGCTTCTACTCATCAGCAAGCAAACGGAGATTTAAAAGTAATTAGAGTAAAGTGGCATTTCCAAATCCTATTCAATCATGTCCTTCTCCTCAAGCTAGAGAGCTTTCTGCTTCTCCCATCTCCTTTCCCTTGCTCGCATCTTTCCGGGAAAGGAGAAACTACACTCTGAGCAGATGAGCAAGAAGGTAACAGTCCAATAGTTCCTGGAGAACTGGGTTACCATCAAAGGTCAGCACCTGTTCCTCTTTCCCCCAACCCCTGCATTTACGTAACAACACTAGGCAGGTTCAGTGAGGTAAGCCAAGGTTCACCTTGGAATACTGTCACACTTCTTTACTTCTGGCTCTCTGTGTCTGGCTTCATTCTCTTAGTTGTGAGGCTGAGCCTTTATAAAAAGACTTAGGGTCCGTCTTAGAGTGTAGTCACATGGTGCGCGCACACACACACGTATGTCAAACAGTGGTTCTGGAGGAGGCCTTTTCCTAGTGGCATCTATGTAGGTGCGATTACAATGTTGCTACTTTGATTCCCACTCTGCTACTGCTCCCTAGCATCAGAGTTCTTTGGTATAAGAGTGCTGATGGGAGTGAAGAAACGACAGAACAGAACACAGGCATTTCTGGGCCCACGGCCATGTATCTATCAAAACTCTGTCAAATTCCTCATTCCACTTTCCATGGGACAGACACTATGCTAGGTGCTGGTGATATTGGCAACCAAAAAGATAGCCATGATTACCAGGAATAGGAAGCTTAATGAACAGAATTATTATTTTTAAAATATTAACTATATATCGGATACCTACAACATTAATTAAAAAAAAAACACACTCACCTCTATCCTCCATGAATTTGTACAGCTGCTGAAGAAAGTTTTCTCTTTCTTCTGGAAATGGTTCTATTTCTTCCTGTTTTAGTCACAGAAGAATAGAATATTATTTTGCTCAGTTAAGCATTGAATAAAACAAGCAGATTTCCTACCAACAGCAAAGACTAATACTCACTAGAATATTTCAAAAGCTTTTTATCAAATACAAATTATTTCTTAATACTAAGCTGTTCGAACCCAGAAAATTCTAGACATTTTGTGCTTTACAGAGGAATATGTCCTAAAAGGTATTTCCAAAGTGACAATCCCAACTGTAAATTCTCATATAAGAAAAGAGACTACAAAGACGGTTCACCAGCTTTTGGTTTATCCCGTGTAAGAGATCAATTCTTTAAATCAGGGTCACAGGCTCAAGAAGACCTACTCTCACTTCTATGAAATTGGGTCAGGGTTTAATTTAACATCAAAACTGACTCGATTATTGCTCCTCATAGAGCTGTACAAGTGTGGGTCCCAGTAGCTGTAACTACAAGTGTCCATCATTACACACAGCCCCACTGTGGAGTACTGCAAGCGTGTCAAATCGGTAAAGTGGGGAACAAACTTGATCTACAATACCTGAAGATTCAGACTTAGGGAAATCTTCAAGTAATAAAATAGTTCCCCGATTTATCAATTACAAGGGAGGGACTAGCTTCTTGCTGCTGTGGCCAGGGGCTGTGGCAGTGGGGAGCTGGTCCTGAAGCAACCTGCAAGGAGCAGGGTAGTAGGTGAGAGGGAGGAACTCATCAATTCAGTGACTATCATCCATTCACAAACACTTTATGAGCACCAGTCGGTGGACGCACTAGGTCAGGTGCTGAATCAATGAAAGAAAAATAAGCAATGACTAAGAGTAACTGCAGAGCAAGTGGTCCGAACTATACACCAAGGCTACAGTTACTCTGGCTGAGGCCAATGTATCTCTCATAGTAAAGGTGGGAGCATACTTTTCTATTGATGGTCTAAATAAATCTCTTTAATTTTTAAAACTGTGTCTAATGCCATTGTTTAAATGAGATGTTACCCCTTTATATTAAACGCTAGCAGAGCCGAGGAAGGCCAGTTAAAAACAAAAACTCACGTGGATAAATTACTAGGCTTGCTAGCTGGGCACAGGAGAATAAATGACAATTATTAACTTGTTTAGGATAAATCTGTGTTTCTCAATTTAAAGATGGTCCATATATGCTGTGTGTCGGTAAAGTAGTCAGATGTAAGTCTAAGGAAATCTATTTTCTAGATATCACCTAATGTTCCCATGGTACAATATTTGACTTTCATAAACTGCCAAATTAATTCCTGTTGCAAAATTTTTAAGTCAAGTTTATATATGACACAAAAAAATGTTTAAACTGGAAACCAGATTTGCTTTCACAAAAACACAAATCCAAGCACCAACCGTTTGGTAATTAACATTTACTGATCATCTGTTACATGTTACACACTGTGTCAGACACTGTGAATATAATAAGTACAGGGAAGACAAGGTCCCTACCCTTGAGGAGCTTATAGATTAGTAGGGGAATTAAGAAACAGACATAAACCAATGTACTTATGTACATTGACAAAATATGTACACGGACCATATAGACTAGCAAACGGAGTGATTAACTTTCCTGAGGTGAGAAAGGTGATGGTTTACAGGTTTCCCCTTACAATGGTGACATATGTCGGGTTTGAAAACTGAACAGGAGGGTGCCAGGCTGACTGGGGGAGGGAAGGGCACTGTCGGGTAGAGTATGTGCAAAGGTGAGTAGTAAAAGGTATATAATTTGATATTGCTATAGCATAAAGTTCCAAGTTGGGGGTGGGGGAAAAGAGAGCATACCAAGAAAAGTAATGAAAAAAAGAAGGCAGGGGTTGGATTATAAAGGAGGACCTATAAGTGAAGCTTGATTTTTAGAGCGATAAGAAGCTACTGAAAAGGTTTTAACAAGGGACTAATTACTCATTTAGCATTTTAAATAGAATGCAGTGGGAGAGAAGACTGAAACCAGGGACACGTTTACACCGCACATTGTCACTATAGATTATCATATCACAAAACAACCCTGTGCCAATAACAGTTATGTGGCAGAATTTCATAACTTACCTAAAATATTACATATTGACATGAATTTAGTTTCCTGAAAACATTAAATACAATTCATTTCACGATCATATATACTAGCCTTCGCTATCTGTACCTCTCACCCAATAACTTTTATAAAGTCGCTCAACAAACCATGAAAGAGTACCATCGTTCAATGTCACTAGTGATATCATGGACATCTTGGTACTTGTCGCTGCTAGACCTAAAGTACTAGCTACAACAAAATCTAAAACTTCAGCTTCTTTATCTATATGAATTCAGATGTCTTATTTATGATCTTATCAGAACTACACATCCACTTATGTTAGATAAAATCATTTAAGATTCTCATTAACCTTTACTTTTTTACTTATTCTTTTAATACTAGGTGGAATATGTATTTTGTACTTTTCTAGGTATTTCAATAAAATACACAGATGTAAACACTGTATGAGGTGACAGCTATCTACACGACAGTGAAAAGCATGTGAAAGTTTTGCTATGTTAGATGGGTATTTCCTTAATCATCGGTTAAACCGAAAGCACAGTAAAATTAGGAAACATTTCTGAGTTATTGGGATATCTATAGTTAGTTTTATTTTCACAAGACCCTATTTCTATTTTAAGGTAAGCAAGCAAACTACTTGATTACGATGAGTATCACAAATACAATTTCATTATGAAATATTTCTAAGACTAAAAGTATTCAAGTAATTAATGACTTATGCGCCAAATTCTAACTCGAACACCCAACTGTAATTTTAATGTAAAGGCCTCAGCTGTTTCACTTACCTCCTCCTCACTGCTGTTATCCTCCTTTTCTTTCTCATCCTCCTCCTCCTCTTCCTCCTCCTCTGCCTCACTGCTGGAGCTGTCTTCTTTCAATTCCGTCTTCCAGTTAGCGGGAATAGTTCTACTTCTGTGAAACTCTAGTGCCTGATCAAAGGCTGGAAAGAGACCATAAACTAGTGAACTGGAGAAAGAAGACAACTGACTTGTCTACAGATAGTAAACAAATAAAGAAATGAAGACCACTGTGTAAATACCGCTGACAGTTATGAGTGCCTGCTGTGTGCCAGGCACTGAGCTGACCGCTTTTCTGTGTAGCTGCTCATTTAATCCTCTCAGTCTTAAGCATCAGGCAGCCATTTTTATACATGACAAAACTGCTACTATTGGGAGGGGATCTAGGTCTTAACAAATACAAAAGAGCAGTTTTCTTCTTTTAAATAAAAATTAAGCATGTCTGATAAAAACATACTTAAGTTAGGTAAATCTGTAATCGTTTACCCAACAAATGACAATTAAATAGAATCACATGCCCGCCAGAACCATTGTAATGAACATACAATACCTGAAAATATAAATATTTTCTCTAGATCGCTAAACTTGAATTATATTAACAATTAACTTCAATTAAAATTAGCTATGCAGTAATTCTCATTTTACAATACATGGAAATCAATTTTAAACCATAAATTCTTGATGATTTTTAACTAGTCTACACAACATATTATTAGATTTGATGAATATAGGCCAAGTGAAAATAAGCAGCTATATACAATGGCAAAAATCTAGTAAGAAATGCAATTACAGCATTTAATATAACCACTGAATAATATAATATAATATAATATAATATAATATAATATAATATAATATAATAAATACTAGGGGCCCAGTGCACAAAATTTGTGCACTGGTAGGGTCCCTAGCGGCTACTGGCTGCTGGCTGCTGGCCAGGTACTTCCTCCCTCCGCCTGGGCAGCCCCGCCCCCTGGTTGAACTCCCAGATGAACTCTCAGTCAAGGGGACAATTTGCATACTATGCTTTTATTATATAGGATAACTATTATTATGGTATGAGAAATGCCAAATCAAAATTACTTTGATTCCTGTTTCTACCATCCTCAGGAACTAACATTTTATTTAGAGGCAAAAGCCAGACTATAGCAATAGCTGCTGATATAGTTCTTTCACACTTTAAATAATATTAAGCTGAAAAAAAGAAAAAGAAAACTATGATAACAAAAGACACGTGGGTTTACAAAACACAATGTCACAGAAAGCTAAGTATAACTTTAAAGGCAATTTTAAAAAAATATCCTTTTTAAAAATGTATTATTGAAAGTATTACAGACGTCCCCTTTCTCCCCCCTTGACCTCCACTCGAACCTATCCCCCTTTACCACACTACTGTGTCCATGGCTATGCTTATATGCACACAAATTCGTTGGTTAATCTCTACCCACCAACCCACCCCAACCTAAGAAAACGTAATCTCCAAAAATACTATCAGTTTTTTTAATTAACAATTTATTTCCAGATTACCCTTACCTTGTTTTAAAACAGCATCAGGCTTTGGTGCAGTATCACTAGTAATTTCATGGACATCCTTTCTTGGTACTGAAGTACTGTATTATTTTTTTCAATTTTAAAGAAAAAGCAAACACAAAAATACAACAGAAATTAATTAAGAGCCTAATTACACACCACAGAAAGCTACTGAAAATATGGGAATACTGACATTTACACAAGGGTGCAAGTTACAGATAAAATGTTAATACATGTAATCATCTACAAAAGGACCCCACCTTTAATAGAGACATTTTATAAACAAGGTATTCTCAAATTATCAAGGGCCCCTGGCTAAAAGCAATGAAATACTAAATGAAAAGTACTTAAATACTAAAAATAACAACAGATAAAAATGTTTGGGTGGCAGAATGCATCAATCCAATAAATAAGAAGTCAAACAATAAGAACCTGCCATTATCTTGGAATAATCATAGGAAATTACTAAATTTAATACTGGAAGAAAATGTACTAGTTTATAATGTGAATGTTCTTTTAACAAAATTTTAACTGGATTTTAGACTAAAGTCCTCAACTATAAAGAGGGATCAGATATAAGCATCTATAAGAGGTTCTACCATATATGTCATATATATTTCCTGTTTGACACTGATCAACGATTATTCATCTTTCCTGCATTTGGTTAGTTTCAGTCAAACCACAAAGCCTGAAAACTATTCCAAATACAAGTTTCAGCTTGCCTATTTCTTTTAAGCTTTTATTTTTAAAATCTCATATACAAAAGTAGACCAAATAGTGCAATGACCTCCCACATATCCATCACCCAACTACAATAATCATTAACTCATCATCACTGCTTCATTTATACCCCTACCTACTCCCTCCTACCTGAGCTCGATTATTTTGAAGCAAATCCCAGACATATAATTTCATTATGGAGCTTCAAAATTCTTTTAAAAAATATAATTATACCATTATCACACATTTAAAAACTAGTAATTTCTTAATATCATCAAACCAGTATTCAATTTCAGTGTTCAAATTTCTCTCATTATCTCCATTTAGTTCACATGGTTTTCATAGATTGTTTTTAAAAATCACTTTTTAGAACTTGAAAACCCAAACACCAATCTTAAAATATGATCATCCTTTAAAGATATAGTCATCCTTTAAGGCAGAGTGTAAAAGATATGGCTTTTCTGGTCACACAATTCTTAAAGGGGAAAAAAAAATAGAAATTTGTAACTCAGTTCTAAGAAAGTTCTACATGAAAAATATCTTTCTTAACACTTAAGATACAATTTAAGAGTCCTAATTAAACATTCAAGAACCATAAATGTATCCACTAGTATATCAATCAAGGGTTAGATATGGAAGATATATCAAATTTGCCTCAACAAATCACCAGCTATTACACAGGCAAAATTGACAAATTAGACAATACTGAGAGTGTAGTTTGCAAAGACCATCATGAACAAGGAAAGACATACTACTACACTTACTAGTAACATGAAAAATGATACTTTGAAACTTTCTGAATGGCGAAAAGTAAAAGGGTAATGTCACTGGAAAGAACTTTATCATTTACCATTCTAATGTGGAAAAATGGCATATTTTTCATAACAAGTGAGTTATACTTACAATTTGCCATCCTTGAAAGATCGAACAAGAATATTATCTTTCTTCACAGCAATTTCATCACTACAATCAGGACAAACCACCTTTATAAAAAAAGGGTGAAATTATGGTTAGTAAATACACATTTACGGATAGTTACATTAGAACCAATTATTTAAATCCTTTTTGAAAGAAGTTTTTCAGCTTAGTTTAAAAACTAAATTTAATTTTAGGGCAAACAGGTACACACATGTGGACACAGTCACCCGTAATTTTCAATTTATATCCTACATCTTCCCAGGCCTACGGCTCCCCCACTGCCTCTGGCACAGGCTCGGGCTGCGAGCAGAAGCGTGGCTCTGACTAGACTGAAGCTGGAGACCGCGTCCTATCAGAAGTGGAGAGCGGAATGGAGGGGAGCTAGCGTCTTAGCGAGGGTGGGCACCCCGGTAAGAGAAGGGCAGGCCCCAACATGGGATCAGGTATTAAAACCTTCATCAGGACAGTCTCCATCCTTAAAAAAAGCTAGGGACGGGGTTCTGTATTATTTACTGTTAAATATGTATTTAAAACACATTACATTTCTTTGTAATACTACCCACTCTAAAAAGTAAACACTTCAAAGTGGGTACCTTTCTGGAGTCCGTGTAAGATTTCCTACTAACATTAAAAGATTTCTTTTATTTGAAATAGCCTCAGCTGTTATTTAGTGAGGATAAAGCATGTTTTCCCAAAGGCAGTGCCAATGTAAGAGGCCTATGAATTTTGCCTTTCTTAAATGACTTCAAGAGTTCTTTGTACTCGGAGGCAATTTTGAAAGTTAATCTTTCTCTGAACGAAATGATGCTAAAACCATTTCCCCATTTTGCACCTATGAAAATCACTAAGACAAGCAGCTGTGGTTTTTTCATGAACTTATGTAGTTGAAAATGAAACTCGTTTAATTGAAGTTACTCACCAATGCAGGAAAACATAGTGCTTTCTTTTTATCCAAACTAACGTAATCTACACAAACAACTTTGCCTAGCAGCTCATCAATCTGCTTCCTGTCGTCCTCATCTTCATCACTGGAGGATGAAGAAGACTCTTCCTCTGGTCTAGGGAAATAAACAGTAAGAAATTTCACTTATCTTCACCAAGAAGAAGCAGACCAAGCTGATAAATACAGACATTCCAGAAATCTTTTCCCATTTCCTAATGTCCACAGAACGGCTAATTTAAAAATTAAGTTCCTAAATTTCTAAAGAATACCAACATAAAAGGAATATCACTAGAGAAAAATACATCATTTTCCTAAAGATATTTCCCATTTATTTAGTGCTATTTTAAACAATTAAGGGAAAGTTCAGAACAGACTAACATTGGTCCCCAAATTCTCAAAAAGCTGAAGGCCCCATATAAAATACCCCCATGCTATACATAGTAAAATATATTAGATCCTACATTCAGATTAAAGGAGTTATAGACAGTAATTTTACACTCTCAGTACAAAGCTAATTTTACAAGAAGGCAGGCAGATCTTTATTACTGGGGGTCAGGGGAGAGAGAGGAGACAATCTGGTAAGAGATCATCACTGTTATTCTCAGTATCAAATATGCACAAATAATCATAAAATGCACAATATGATTCTTTTGTATTGTTAAAAATTCCTTCCAGTTACATTGTATATTGAACTAGTAACTTAGAAAGACATTAGAAAAGGAATCTAAAACCGTCTATTTGATATTAGACAAAAGTAGAGTAAAAAATACTACTAAAAAGGAAAAAAGAAACACAAAACAAAACAAAAAATTCTGCTGAATCTGCTTCAGAGAAAGCCCACAATCAGGTTGTGGGCTCGATCCCCAGTAAGGGGATCCTTTCATTCCTGTGTTCCTTAGATTAGTTACTTATTGTATCTGCAGCCAATTTCCCCAATTTTTAATAAGGATAAAACTAATACCTATTTTCATGGGTTTGCTATAATATGAGAGCTATGCTCACCCAATTTCTGTCTCCAAAGCATAGCCACAATTAGAATGCTGGCCCGTTCCATTTTGACTACAGTATCCCCATACATGTAGGGAGTAATAAGAGGTAGATACCCAGCTGCTAAGGTTGGCTGAACATGGAGAACCTCAAGGACCCATGCTAAGGAGTCTGAAATTACTATTAGATCTAAAATTACTATTAGATTCAGTTAGCATTTTGAAATTACAATTTAAAATTAGTAACTATTAGAGCAACACTAGGAGAAATGAATTCAGGTTTAACTAACAGTTATGAAAATGGACTTACATATGATTAGATCTTCTTCCTCTATTTGTTTTCTTCCCTATGACTGGAGTGCCAAAATGTTCAGGGTTGGTGAGTGGGAGCTGGTCTAGAGTCTGTGGGTAAGAACATAAACCCAGAAAAAGTTATTACATTGCAAGTCTAGTGATTTAATAAATAATATAAATGTCCCCCAAAAAACACTGTTCTAAATAGTGACTAGAAAAAAAATTATGGTTGGGCCCCTCTGGGCATTAATTTTTATTGACTGGGGAGGGGGTAGAGACTATAGCACTATTTATAACCATACGATCATTTAAAAATTCTGAGTAGCAAGCTACAGATTTACAAAACGTTGTGAACTTTCCCTTCTTAGTAACTGAATAACACATTTTAATTTTAGAGCATGGATTTGGTATTAGAAAGTGCTGGTTTAAGAACCAGCTCTAACCATGTTTCATTATCTGTAAGTAAAAGAAAATAATGGTTTCTACTTCATAATGTAAATGTAATAATGTATGTAAAGCTCTGAAAAATGCTTTATATTTCCCTAAGAAATATAAGCACTTCATTTATTCATTCAACAAACATTTAGTCAGTTCCTACTCTGTGGGCACTGTTCTAGGCACTGGGAACCAAGTGGCAAACAAGACACAAAATCCCTGCCCTCCTGACACATTCCAATGAGAAAGGCAGACAATAATAGACCAATAGTCAAGCACATACACATATTTTAAAGTCAGCGAACAGTATGTGCTATAAAGAAAATGAAACCAACCTAAAACAATTAAGAGGGATGAAAGGGACAATTTTAGAAAGGGCAGCCAGGCAAGGCTTCTTTAAGGAGGCTGCAATTATGTCAGCTACTAGCAATAGTAGTTCTGGATTGCTTGTATAACTACATTATTTTCATGATGATGGGGTTCAAGTGGGCTACAAATCAGACCTCTCTTTCCTATAATCATTTACATGACAAAAAAGAATACTCAAACACAAGGCCTCAAGCAGGCTTCACAGATTGTATTATAATGGTATTATGTTTTGATGAATTTTCCTAATTAACATGTAAGTTGCTTGATTTGAGAAAGCAAACTCTGCTCCCCCCGATACAAACTATTAGGAGATGTTCATCTGTTAAATGGTCACTTACTTCACTTTCAGCAAAATGTCTCTCTCCTTTCAGGCACAGCGAGGACCGTCTCAGCGTCTTCTCATCTCCATCATCAAAAACTAGGAGAGGAGGTAAAAACGGAAACTGCTGAAGAGTTTTTCAAAGATTAACAAGATAATTAAATTATTTAATTTTCCGAGCAGAAATAGAGCTATTTATTGTTTTAAATATTACATTCAAAATTCACGTCACATTTTATGTTTTCTAATAAACAACTTCAAACATTGAGTATCTTTTCCAATTTCTAGCAAAAAAGAAACAATGGACCTTAAATGAAAAAAACCTTCTTCCCTCAAACAGAAAACACCAAATAAAAATGTTAGCATTGCAGCATGAAACTATTTAAACGCTATTACCCCTTCTCAAGGTGGTAAAGGAAAAGCAAGATTTCCTGCTGGTAAAAACCTACAGATTTAGCTAAGAAACAGAAAGAGTACAAACTGATATATTCAGACTGCCATTAAAGAAGTACTCTATTTTTATTTAAAGCAGGGTTTCTCAGTCACAGCTCTACTAACATTTGGACCAGATAATCCTCTTCCATTGCGGGGGAGCTGTCCTGTGCACTGTAGATATTGAACAGCAACCTTGGCCACTAGATGCCATCAGCACCCCCTTCCAGCTGTGATAACCAAAAATATCTCCGGGCATTGCCAAATGTTCCCTGAGTGATGAACTTGCTCCCAGTTGAAAACTACTTATTTAAAGTACTAAAATGCCCCACCAAATTTACTGTAAGTTTATATATATACAGAATATACGTATATTTTGTGACATAGTAAAGATACAAGTAAAACAATGAGAAAAGTACTTGCAAACTAAAGCAGCAAGTATTCAGAATATAAAAAGAACTCACAAACTAAAAATAATAAGGAAAAGATAACAGCCCGGCCGGTGTGACTCAACAAGATAAATATACTTAAATGTACACTTAAAAATGGTTAGAATGGCCCTGGCTGGGTGGCTCAGTTGCTTGGAGCATCGTCCCATACACCAAAAGGTTGCAGGTTCAATACTCGGTCAGGGCTAATATGGGAGGCAACCAATCGATGTTTCTTTCTCTCTCTCTCTCTCTCCTTCCTCTCTCTAAAATCAATAAACATATCCTAGGCTGATGATAAAAAAAAAATGGTTAAGATGGAAAAAGAAATTTCTCTGAGATACACTTTGAAATGAAAAATTGCTAGAAATCCAATGCTATAATATGCATAACTAAATAATTTCAAATAATATGTTATGCACATATCAATAAAACCAATTTTTTAATCTGGAAAGATAACCATTAACAGTTATATCGTCTATGGCACTGGGGAGAAAGTAAATCAAGGAAACTTTGCTTTAGTTGTATTATCTTTGAAAAAACTTCTTTAAAAGATGGATTCCCTTGCCCTAACCGGTTTGGCTTAGTGGATAGAGCATCGGCCTGAGGACTCAAGGATCCCGGGTTCTATTCCGGTCAAGGGCATGTACCTTGGTTGCGGGCACATCCCCAGTGGGAAATGTGCAGGAGGCAGCTGATCGATGTTTCTCTCTCATTGATGTTTCTAACTCTCTATCCCTCTCCCTTGCTCTCTGTAAAAAATCAATAAAATATACTAAAAAAAAAAAAAAAGATGGATTCCCTTACCTACAGTATACCAACTCGCGTCTGTTAATTTATTGATGACAGCTTCCTGATATGTACCATCGAGATTCTTCACTTCCACAATAGCTCCAACCTAAAGTATTTTTAAAAGTTAGAAAAACTTTTTAGAAGGTAAGTGAACAAACCAAAAACTGGCTTTATTTATTTTTTTAATTGAGTGCACGGTAGAAAGAATAAAATTACTGATTTGTGTTGCGGTACCAGCAGTTTTACCACTACTGTTTCTGTACCATCAGTGAAAGTGTCAACATAGTAAAAAGGCGAATACTATCTAAGAATTATTATGAAAACAGTTGTGCCCGTTTTCCCTTAAAAGGGTCTTAAGAACCCCCAGGAGTCCTCAGATCTCACTTTGAGAACTGGAACCACCATCTGTGAAACTGACTGTCCGTGCCCCATATAACCACTCCTCTTTGAAGGCGGTGGAGGAAGGGGAGAAAAATTAAGGAATAGGCTCTGAAGTCTCCTTAAGAGTTAAAATGTAACACTAATGACAATCATTTAAAAGTTTCCATTTGAGCCCTAACCGGTTTTGCTCAGTGGCTAGAGCGTCGGCCTGCGGACTCAAGGGTCCCGGGTTCGATTCTAGTCAAGGACATGTACCTTGGTTGCAGGCACATCCCCAGTGGGGAGTGTGCAGGAGGCAGCTGATCGATGTTTCTAACTCCCTATCTCTCTCCCTTCCTCTCTGTAAAAAATCAATAAAATATATATTTTTTTAAAAGTTCCCATTTGATCAAGAAAATACTGAGTTATATTTACATGGTCTTTAAAACTGCAGCAAACTTAAAAACTTCTACACAGGAAAGGAAACTATCAAGAAAATGAAAACGCAACCTACTGAATGGGAAAAGTATTTGAAAATCATTAATCTGATAAAGGGTTAATATCTAAAATATATAAAGAACTCATCCAATTCAATATCAAAACAAACTATCTGATTAGAAAAATGAGCAGAGTGTCGAGCCAGTGTTGCTCAGTGGATGAGCGTCCACTTATGAACCAGGAGGTCAGGGTTCAATTCCCAGTCACGGTTCAATTCCCAGCCACATGCCCAGGTGGCAGGCTCCATCCCCAGTAAGGGGGTGTGCAGGAGGCAGCCGATCCATGATTCTCACTCATCATTTTCTCTATTAATCTATTTAGAGAGCAATACATATTTATCAATTCAACAACAAGATAGTCAATGAATTAAAAAGAAATGACCGGGTATAATTTTAATCATTTACCACTGAAGCATCGGAATTAATAATGAATAAATAAATGAATTACCTTTAGTGGGCCCTTTATGTGGTCATCCTGAACTTCCACTGTTGAAGAATCATGCCTAAATGTTACCTAGAGATTATAAATTTAATTAGACACATGCACACACACACAACACCAAGTCTATAGTAAGGTGGCCCTCAGTATACTGCCCTGACCGAGTGGCTCAGTGGGTTCAAGTGTCGTTGTATAACCAAAAGGTGATGGGTTTGATTCCCTGTCAGGGCACATACCTAGGTTATGGGTTTGATCCCCGGTAGGGGTTTCTGTGGGAGGCAGCGACTGATGTTTCTCTCTCACATCAGTGTTTCTCTCTATCTCTTTTTCCTCTCTTTAAAATCAATAAAAACCATATTCTGCCCTGCTTGGTGTGGCTCCGTTGGTTGGAGCATCATCCCGTGCAGCAAAAGATGGCAGGTTCCATCCCCAGTTGGGGTGCATGCAAAGGCAGCCAATCAATGTTTCTCTCTAACACAGATGTTTCTCTCTCTCTCTTCCTTCCTCCCTCTCTCTAAAATCAATTTTTTAAAAAAAATCCTTGGGTTTAAAATATGTGTGTGTGTAAGAGAGAGGGTGTATATATATATATATATATATATATATATATATATATATATATCCCATCTATATTTAATCTAACCTTCATTCCAATTAAAATACTTCTAAATCACAAATAATGATTTTCTCCCAGGTATTTTCATAGCCATTACTCCTAGAAACTAAACTCATCTTGCAGGAGAAAGTTATTAAATATACTCACCCAAGTTTAAATAGTAAACACTGGACATATAATCTATAAAATCTACATAGACTGTACCTTGACTTTGACAAGTCTCTTTGCTGTCTTGATCTTGGCTTCACAGAAGGCTCCTCTGTACTTAGCACTCACATCAGTGCCCACTGTCAGATAGGGAGGCTCATCCAGGGCCTAAAAATGCAAACCAATTAGATTTAAGCTCTGATTCTTCCCACAGTCAGACCTCAGAATGGCAGAGCAAATTTGTTATAGCTATAAAAGCTGTGATAACTGACTATGTATTTGTTAACAAGTACAATCTGTAAAATACACTAATTTAAAGATAACTACAATATATATATCAAAGTCTACTTAAATGTACTAAATGTATATGATATAAAACATAAAGGCGTCTTTTTCTATTAAAATACACATGGTTCATAATATGAATTTGCTCAATCACAAATATATACCATTCCTTCACACCCCCTCCATCCACCATCCATTCAAATATCTATTTACTACATGACCATGAAAAAGCAGATTCTTAAAGCTCAAAGTCAGAGAAAATTTCTTCTTATAGGCTGTATCTTTACAAGCACCCAAATTCAGAATACCTAGACAACTTTTAGACAGAATGGCATAAAAGGGGCAGGAGGAATTCATGTATTCAAACTACAAAATCCAATCTGGGAAGCTTCCAATAAAACTTAGTCAAAATGTCTCCAATGCTTTAAGGCATGGGTTCACTGTTTGTTTATCCGTCAACCGTAACTAATATGTTAGGTTCCCCACTTGTTGATTTAGTTTTTAACAGTCCTAATGTAGCTGCTCTGACTTTTTACAATCAGGTATACTTGTACATAGGATCTGTATTTCTAAGGAGTTCTGCTTATATTAATCAAGTCCATAGCCAAAGAAAGATTATGTAAGTAGCTTTTCCCAAAGTGTTTCACGAGAAATACTAATATCCCAAGAAGCTCCACCAAAAAAAAAAAAAAAAGGAAGGAAAATTTGGGAAAACTGGTTTACTGAATGAATTCCCACTCTGCCTCATCATTTCCCAATCTGGTTTGTCCAAAGAACCTCTTATTTTTTCTTCCTATTAACGTCTATTACCTTCCCATTAACATCTATTACCATTACATTCCATAAAACGTAAGTGGGAAAATACAGTTATACAGCAACAAATAATGCAAAAATCATTTTCATTTGGATCTTAAAGTAAATTCACTCCTAACAGTTGTGGCTAGCATCTCCAAAAACATATTTATTTATTTATTTTTTAATTCTAATGCTATGTGCCTGGCTGGTGTGGCTCAGTGGATTAAGTGTTTGTCCCCTGGACCAAGAGGTTCGGGGTTTGATTCCCGATCACGGCACATGCCTGGGTTTTGATCTTGATCCTCAATAGGGGCCAGGCAGGAGACAGCAGATCAATGTGTCTCTCAGTGATGTTTCTATCTCTCTCTCCCTTCCTCTCTATCTAAAAGTCAATAAAAATGGCCCTAACCAGTTTGGTTCAAGGAATAGAGCGTTGGCCTGCGGACGCAAGGGTCCCAGGTTCGATTCCTGTCAAGGGCATATACCTTGGTTGCGGGCACATACTCAGTAGGGGGTGTGCAGGAGGCAGCTGATCGATGTTTCTCTCTCATGGATGTTTCTAACTCTCTATCCCTCTCCCTTCCTCTCTGTGAAAAGTCAATAAAATATATTTAAATAAATAAATAAATAAAGTCAATAAAAATATATTTTTTAAAATTATAATGCTATGTAACAAAAGTGCCCATATTTATATCAAATAATTGTAATAACTTTTTTTAAAGGTGGAGGTATTACATAAACTAAGACAAGGGTGGTTGTCCCTCTCTCTAAAATCAATAAAAACATAAAATAAAATAAAATAAAATAAAATAAAATAAAATAAAATAAAAACACATAAACAGCAGATGCCAGTATAATTGTGTATATATATGAGGGGGTGTATAAATATTATCCCATATTCAATTCAGAAATAATCATGTTGCATTCTATAGCAAGAGGTTAAGAGTTGGTGGGATGCTCCATAAGGAAGTGTATACCACAACCCTTTAGACTGCAGCGGTTTTCAACCTGTGGGTCGCGACCCCTTTGGCGGTCGAATGACCCTTTCACAGGGGTCGCCTAAGACCATCCTGCATATTAGATATTTACATTACGATTCTTAACAGTAGCAACATTACAATTATGAAGTAGCAACGAAAATAATTTTACGGTTGGGTCACAACACGAGGAACCGTATTTAAAGGGCCAGAAGGTTGAGAACCACTGCTTTAGAGTGACAGAAAGATAACCAAGGCTATACACCTATTCTGAGGCTACTGTACTTTGGTCTAACACAGAGAGATACAAAGAACTGTGAGCCGATTAATTAAGACTCTCTTGACCAACACCCACCCTGATAGGTAGAACATGTATACAAACAACCAAAAACAAAACAAAAGAAACCTCTTACCTTCTCTTTTCGCTCTGCTTCCCTGATTTTGGTCAATAATATAGACCATCTCAGAGGCTAAAATAAAATGTTTTATGTAACACCTCCATGCCAAGAGGAAATTAAACTACTAAATTACCATCTCTTTGTTTAGCAAACAGAACAGTTTCCTAGTTGTCAAGGCAACAGCTACCTCACAGTTATCAGCACTGCTTAAACAATTATTTTTCTAGTCAATCTACCAAATGCCCTCCCTGGCTCCTAAAAAACACTGAATTCCCTGAGAACGCTGAAAAGGATAAGCGATTTTGAAATTAGCTATTGGTGAATACTAATCCTTCAAGAAGCCAAAATGCCAAGGAAACACGTTAAGTGCCCAAATGCATCAACAGTAATCTCCATTGTGCCCTGGGCTTCAGTACACCCAACACATAAAATGCTTTAAAAAAGAGAATAGCTGAATCAATTCTCCAAGTGGCTGACTAATGTTGACATTACCTAGAAAATATTCAGTTATTCAAGATGTGTTTTTTTAAAGCAAAACATGCTAGATGACATTTTATTGAGATAGGTTCTTAAAAAGAGTAAGCATTCAAACTACTTACTAGGCGGTGCCAATGCAGCCAGGAGAATCAGAAAACAAAAGTACTAAATTTGATGCTAAAACCTCCAGTAAATAAATGTATTTAAACATACAGATAAATCTATAAAAGCAACTTTTTGTCTATGACAATCTCAAAGAGGCATTAAAAACCACAATGGAGAGAATTCCAACAGATGAATGAATGACAACTACTCAGGGTTGGCAGGGCCCCAGCACTCATTCACCCACCCCCACGGCTCACCACCTAGACCAGCTTCAGGTGACTAAATGCCACATCAGAAGAGTGATCTGATCTAGAGGAGAAAAGTTTGTTTTTGCCCTACATAAATAAACAGGGCTAGAAGTGGATGCTTACCCAGAAAATAACTATCTATAGTGGTTCACCTAATCCAATAACAACCCCCTAGGCTTGGAAGCAAAATTTACTTTTCCCTTGAAAGAATCCTACCTAGGCAAGCCAGCAGCAAATTAGAAGCAAGGACAAATATTTCGTAGAACCCCCAGCAACAGGAAGGGCTACGATAAAGGTTTGAAATGAGAGCAACCAGTTCTTGGAATAAAGAAATCCGGTTTTCACCTTACATTAAACATTTTGTTTTAAAGGATTCCATTAAGACAAAAATAACAGGTTTTACTCTTAATCTGAAAATTACAACCCCCCCCCCCCCCCCCACACACACACACACACACTTCTAAATCCCTTTAAGTTAAAAGAAACAAACAGCCTGGCCAGTTTTGCTCAGTGGATAGAGCATCAGCCTTCCAACTGAAGGGTCCCAGGTTCAATTCCAGTCAAGGGCACATCCAGAATTGCGGGTTTGATCCCCAGTAGGGGGCATGCAGGAGGCAGCCAATCAATGATTCTCATCATTGATGTTTCTATCTCTCTCTCCCCCTCCCTTCCTCTCTGAAATCAATATAAATTTTTAAAAAGAAACAAAAAAATTAGAAATAAAAACAAAACTTGTCACTATATCAACTTGAAAGCCTAAATTCACAAGAGTTTACACATTCTTTCCATAGAATAACAATAACTCCCATTTATTGAGAATCTATTATGTAGTAGATCCTGTTATTACCTTTAGCCACTCCCAACAACCCCATGAGGTAAGTACTAAGACCATTCCTCATTTTAGACAAGAACACCAGCCTTCTTAGAAAGTTTAAGAAAACTACCCACAACCTGGTAAGCAGAGGAGTTCTAATCAAATCCTAAGCAGTCTTAATTAAAGATCCTTATTCTATCGGTTTATAGCAGGAGTGACAGGCTTTTACCAAAACAATATAGCTAACATATACTGACTGCTTAGAACTATGCCAAGCACAACATAAGACATTTCAAATGTTATTTCATTTCGTACTTACACAATCATAAGGTAACTATTATCCGCATCCTGCAAAAAAATGAAACTGATATCTACTTTCATAAATGACCTTATCCAAACTTCAACAGTAAGGAATAGAGAGAGTACTAGAAACAACATCTCTCTCAAAAAAAGATGGTTTTTATACATTCAAGTCTAATTTTTACTATCAGTATGAAGTGAATCTTTTCTTTGACAGTTTATAATCTTCATTTTGGCTATTAATGACAAAACGTAAGTATGATTTTCAATGAAAATTATTAAAGTTATTAATGACTATGCTTTCATAAGCAATTATACTGCAAGTTAATCAAATTAGGAGATAGCAGTCTGTTACTTGTAAAACCTTGACACACAGGACTTCAAATAACCTAGAGTTAAGTCACACTGCCAAAAATTTATCTATAAATTAGAAGAAAATGGCTTAAATAAGAAAAGTCTGCATAAAGTATCCACTTCACTGTGCAAGATATAAAGTGACGCATTTTAATAGTATAAAACTATATACAGAATTAGTATCCTTTTAATTGATAGCTAAATTTATAATTTAAAAATGATACATATACTATTTTCTGTAAAATCTTCCTCCTTACAAATCATAATTTTGGCCCAGAGGATCAACCCACTGCCAACACCATGTTAAACTGGAAAAACACTCACACCAGGCAGAGTGATGCAAGATTTCATATGTATCTCTAACTGTACCCTAAAGCTAAGTACATCCTTGCCGCGAATGACCCCATTAGGCAAATA